TTAATATTGTAAACCAAATTCTAAATTTTAAATTAGAATTTTATCTTGATGTTAGGTATGTATAGTAGAGTGCAGCAACTTTTTTTTATGTAAAATATCATTATTCAGAAATAAACGATCAGGTTTAGATCTGATTTTTCATGTTTATTCCGCTACTTAAATTAGAAAAAAAAAAGATACTGCCAAGCAAATGATATACATATTTAAAGATGTAAAAAATAATGCGTTATAAACTTAATAATTATTAAATTGTAAAATCTGAATATATTAAGTGGTGATGGTAAGCACTATGCATGCTGCTGTATATAACACTTGTCTACTAACTGTGCTGTCGATAGGTCCCCGGCAAACCTATTGACTGTAAGAAAAGATAAAATCCTATCATTTTACAGGAGTTCAAGGGAGTATAGTTTTATCTTTGTATAACACAAACAACTCGACATGTAAATAAGAGGAATTAATGAACCACCTCGAAAAATTGTAAAAGTATATTATATATTATATATATTACTATATTTTTGTACAATAATCTTATGAATAACATTGAGTGTTCTGAATTTTTACGAAAGCTAAATTTTCATGTGGCTATCTGCAATACAAGATTAAAAACAACCTTTTATATTTCAAATCAGCAATGATTATGTATTTAATATTCCTCCAAGCCGTTTAATGCGTTCTTGTAATTTAATAAATAATGATCTTATTGTAATTGCTTCATTTTATTGTTTTAAACATTTTGTTTCTAATATTTTATCTATAACAGTTATTGATACATAAGTTATTTAACACTTAATGTTTAAAATTTTGATCATATTATTTTGTTGTAATATTTGTTTAGTATATTATTTATTGATGTTTGTTATATTTAATATCTAATTATTTTTAATTACTGCCGATCAAATAAAAATTGTATTTACATTAGGTTTTTACCTGATAAATAAATAAACATAAAAGTTAAATAAATAAAAAAATTGAGTAGTCCTCCTTATGAGTTCTAAATGTCTTTGTCTATTAAAAGATATTGAACCAATGTATGTAATGTGATTTAAGTTTAAAAAAATAGGTTTTATTGAGTTTATATTTATAAAAATGTCAGATTAAATAAAATAATTTCGTTTACCGTTTAAAAAATTATAACGTTATCTAATAATTTAAACATTTAAACGTTATACAATTGTTTAACGTTAAAGGGGTTGCACACATAATTTATGCCATAAGCAGTTTTTAATATGGACAAATAGCTACTTTTTATAATGAAGAATATAGAACATTTTATGAAAATATGTAAAATGTACTTGTTTAAAACTATATAATTTTCACACTGCTATTAAATTTCATATTTAAGACATGAAAACATTTTTAATCAAATATTTAGTATTCCAAAAAATTAGGTAAAAACACATTTTTATAATAAAAAATATTTAACTATTGTAAACATAGTTGGTTTAATGAACGGACAAATCGAGAGACTGCCAAGGGCGATATTCTTTTATGTTTAGGTGTGTTTATTTAAAATATAAGACAATGAACAAAAAAATAATTATCAAAAACTACAATAGATCACTTCATATAATTTTGTATCTAGAATGTCAAAATACTTAATGCCGTTTCCGACAGTACACTAAAAATATAAATACATATGAAGTTTGACACAATTTATTTCAAGAAAACCATTTAAAAATAAAAAGTGATAATAATTTTTTTTTTTTTAATTTTGTATTAAATTACCATTTAATTATTATTATTTTATTATCAATTTAAAAGTTAAGTTTTATTTATTTTTTAATATAATTTAAAAAAAAGTAAAACCAAAATTAACAATATTGCTATAGTGTTGGTATTTCTGTTTTCGGTTAAAATCAAAGTAAAATGTACAAGTAAAATTTCAAAAAAATATGTGTAAATCTATACATTTTTTAAGTATTACAATTTCTAACACAACTATTTGAACAAAAGGTGAATATGGTTAAGTATTTTTTTATGTTTTTTACGAAGTATCATTTAAAAATATGAATTTTTATTATACATTAAGATATTCATCGGTAGCATTGTTATTTTGTAGCATAAATTATTCAAAATTAAGTACAAGTATATACTTTGTTATTATAAAAACACGTACATTCAAATTAAATTAATTTTGTTCATATAGGTGTAAAAACAATCTTGAAATTTAGAAATATTTTATAAGGTTGTTTTTTTTGTGTACAATTAAAAGTAAGTTTAACTAGGTAAATTTAGTTTTAATGTGATAAATTGTCTATATGGGAATTCAAGTATAGTAGTAGTGTTTTGTATATACAAATTATGAAAATTGACGCTCTTAAAATTTTTTTACAAAAACTCATCTAACGACCGGTATGTCATAACAAACATATGTATGTCTTAGTAATAAAGATTAATTTAATGTTTAATTATTTTAGGCGTGGAGAACATTATAAAACATTTTTTTTAAAAATGACAATATTAAAATATTTAATCGAGTTAAAAACAAATAATTTAAAGTTTAAAAATTTTATTACTCGATAAAATAAGTATGGATAAAAATCTAAGTGTTAAGTTTACGTGACTATTAAAAAAAATTCGATAAAAAAATTTAGTTTTTAGATAATGCTTATGCTTAAAATAATGCCAGTGTCTTAAAAAAACAATTATATAAATATAAAAAGTAGTTACATTTTTAAAATCCTTAAATCTTTGCTATTGTTAGGTTAAATAACTATAATTGTAATTTAATTATAAAAAAGTTATAGTGGAAATTTCAACTATATACTATATAAACTAATAAATTCAAACTTCAATGCTTTGCTTGTGTAACGACTCAAATTTCTTGTGTTTAAACTCATTCATATAAGTTTTAAATTTTACACAGTTCGTATTTACTAATGTAAATACGAACTAAATACTAATGTAATACACATTTAACTACATAGTTAAACAATTAAAAAGCATGAAAAAATTTAATTTCTATATATTAAGAACCTTTTTTAGATATGAAACTAGCTCGATTGTTAGCATATATATTATCTTTTATCAACTTTATATTTCTTAATGTTAAAGTATTTGAATTTTGCGACGAGAGAAATTTTCTTAAAGTGAGATTGTAAAAGTTAAAAAACTAAAAATATACATCATAAATATAATCTACTATTTGTGTAAATATTTGTCATACAAACGTTTATTATACATATTAACCTTGAATAAAAAATAATAAATATTATATGAATTCAATGAAAAATGAATTAGATTAACTTTTGCAATTAAAATATGATTTCTGACAATTTTACTACAACCTTGACCTAGTCTTTTGAGGTCCGCTACATGACCGAATCAACCGGTTGAGAATATTTTTTTATTTTGGTACTGGCTTCAGTTGTATTATACTGTTATGTCGTTGCGAGATATCCGTCTGGAGGACCTCTTTAAGTTGTAATTTAAATACGTTTAGTGTTATTATTATTTAAATGCGTATCATTAGACAAATAGTAACAAAGTAAAAAAATACATCAAACATTAAACCGTAAAAATAGCAGCACTAAAGAATATGCATTTTATTTTTTTAAAACAAATTTAGCTTGAAAAAGCGTGAGTCCGATGTCAATATGCATTTAAAAAAATATTTGTTATCAGTAAGATTCTTTGATGTATCAAAAGATTTTATCGACATTTTGTTAATTCTTACAAACTTATAAGATTGAAATCTATTGGATTTCAATAACAATCTAAAAACATTTTATTTAAAAAACATTAATATAAACAGACATCATTCACTGGTTTTTAAGTAGACAAAACTTTTACCAAAATTGATATTCCGTAGTCCACTTAGATATTTACGTATTCATGACCAGCGTGTTAAATTTAACCTACTTGGAATAGTCAATAGTGACATACCACCAATTGACTGACATATTATAGCGCTGTTTACTGATGAACAACTCTCACTACAAATCGGGAAACAAAGTATCATTTAAGCAAATTACTTGCACTTAGAATATTTTAAACAAATGTTGAAATCATGTAAAAATATATGCAATATATATGATGTGTAGAAATATTTAAATGTATTTATATTTTTAATTAATAGCACAATTATGTTAGTATGAGTATAATGAAAAATGGAATAGTATGGTTTATACGATTCCATTTTTCATTTGGTTATTTTTAAGTGACCTAAACATTTTTGTTCCTTGTTTATAAGATTGATTTTCATTTTAATGATAAAATAAAATTTTAGAAGAAACATCAGACAATTTAATAAATTTGTTACATTTAATTTAAAATTTTTTAATAAATATTTATATAAATTTGAACTTTAAATTCAACATTTAATTCCAATATAAACAAAAATTGTATACATTTTAATAAAGAAGAAGAATATTAAGTACAGTATATATGTGTTGTCTGTATAAAAATGTACATGCAATACACTTGATTATTATTTTTACATTTATCGTTTATGTCATAGTAAATGATGCATGTTCGACATTGATATTGTAAGAGGCTATTGTTATCATGACGCTGCAGGTATGTACAATAACTAAGAACATTTAGAGATCATTGGCCTGTTATTGACTACAAATTTGTATTGTTTAAAATTTTATTAAGAATGGTAACAAATTTTTAAACAAAGATACATTACGTTGAAATATACATAATACCAACGATATGATTTAAGTAATCATATTGATGAAGATTGCTAATTAATGAACTTTTAGATCAAAATTCCACTTGACAGTATACAAGACGGTATACACATCGGTATTGTTTACCAAGCCCAGTTATTGAAGTACACTATTCGAACGGTTTTTGAATAAATCTAGTTTATACTCTCGTAAAAAATCCCAACAGGAGTTTCACCTTCAGTCCCGGAACTTTTTAAATGAATTTACTATTCTCGTGTATTCAAGAGAAAGCGACATGCTTCTGTCCATAAAATTTATTACTTGAAATTTATTAAATACGATGTGTTAATAAAACAGTAAAAAAAATATTGTAGTACTCACGTGCAAGTCCGAAAAATTGTATTCCACTTTTTTAATTCTCTGGGCCCACCATCAATTGACAGATTTTATATTAAGATACTTTTGTACTAATTAAGTACTATCTAGTTAAAATAGTTCACAAAAAGAGCTATTTTAAGTTAATAAACATAATTATTAAAATAAGCTCTATGGAATGGAATTTTTAAAGATAAATCTTATAGTTAAATTTGACAAATAGATAATTTTGAAAAATTGTTATTAAATCTAATTATTGTAAAAGAACGACGAAGATAGGACAACACGAAAAATCCGAGAAAGTATTACAGCGAATGTTGAATACAGACTACATCGTTGGTTTATCGTATATCTTTAGAAGCGGCCCGAGGAACTTCTTTTCGTATCACTTGGAGAATAATTAGCGCAGTGCTGCCACGTATCGGGAGCTCTATCAGTCAGAAGTCAGTCATTATAACAATATGACGCAGATACGTAATATTGTTGTGTATTTCTCTACATATATCGCTACTGTTTGCGTAGATAGTCAAGTTATTTTGAATAATGATAAAAATATTACCTGGCAATACAATTATGACTAACTATCACAAACTATACAAATTGTATTTGATTAATGTACCTTTAATAAACTAATGACCTTTTTAAGTATCTGAATGCAGTCTGTCAACTATTAACTCGAAGTTTTTTTTTTATTACATGAAAATCGTTTCCAATTAGAAGAATCATTCTCGAGTCAAATAAAACATTTGTAATGGAACTTTTATATATTTTTAACGTGCGATTCCTGTATTTTGTTTTATACATTTTTGATTTAAAAGGATTTATTATGTAATATGTCCAAGTTGAGATTATTATTCACTACTGCATAGGTATTTTCTTTATAATCTCTTATAATATTCGAATTGTTTTGTAAAATAATATAAATGTGGAAAATACATTATGTTTTTAAATGGCTATTTCTGATGTATGATATAATTATAATATTTTTATAATACCATAAATGTATGTATAATATATCTTTAATACTTTATTACGTCATAAGTAACATATTTTCAATTTTTTTCTGGGAGAAGTCTACTAATGGTGTTGCAGCATAGTTGACAATACAATATTGTCAGCTGACCGATGGTGCACAATAGCTAACATCGCAACGATTTGAAGTTGTTAATATTTATTAATGATGGGAAATATTGAATAGTAACTATCGAACTATTCGATAGTTGTCCACTATTCAAACTATTCAATAGTCATTCAAAAACTATTCAAATAGTAAAAATATTCGATAGTTACACAATATATTCAAATAGTTTTAAAAATTATTCGATATTCTATGCTAAAAATAAACTATTCGGTTGTATAAACACAATTCGAATAGTTAATCGATACTTGAATATTGGAAAATGCCCATCACTAATTTTTACAATTATTAATTGTATAATAATTTATTTATTTTTGTGTTGAAAAAGTTTAACTTGTGTGTAAAAATTGTTATTTTGATTCCCGGTGGTCATGGCAAAAGTTAGATTTTCAAAAAATGTATATAAAATGAAAGAAGTAAAGATAAAATATTTATGAAAAAATAATTGTATTGATCCATACATTATTCAAAAAGATAAAATAATTTAAAGTTGAAAAAATAAAATCTCAAATCGTAAATTTTAACACCAAAACTGCATGTTTTTTAATTACGGCAACCATTTGCACACAGAAGATAAGTCGTCGGGACAAATTTTTTTTTTTTAACTTATAGTCACACAGTTGTTTATATAGAGCCGTCCGGTAAAATACTTTTTACGTCCGGTAATACTTTTTGTATTACGATAGATGAGGTAAAATATATATTTTAAATATAGCCCTATATTGTAAAAATTGGCTAAAATATAAAGTATAAAATGTTACGTAGACCATAAGTTATATGAATTGTCACTAGATCTGTTCCACTCTATATATATATACATGTATTTTAAAAACTTATCCATTAAATTAAGTACAGGAGGGGTTCAAACAATAGAACATAAGGCTATGCAAATTATTTTTACTATATAACTTTTGACCAAGTTTCAGAATTTCAGCATCTTTAAAATACATGTTAAATTAACGCTTTAGTGATATAGTGCAATTTTAGTATATTACTAATATGTAAGATATTAGATACAGGACATTGAAAGAACAGTTAATTACTACGCTTAGTAAATTAATACAGTACATTAATTTATCTTAAATATGATCAACTAAATAATTTGTAATAATAAAATTTTTAGTTTTTTAAGTAATTTATAAAAATAAATTTTGCATCATGATAACAATAATCATAATCATTATAATAAATAAATAACAAATTATTACAATATTTTAGATACCTATTAAAAAATATATAATACATTAAATACATAAATATTAAATTTAAATTCATAAAATATTTTATTCTTGAAAAATTTTAGTATTATTATAAATTAACAAATCATAGTAATATGAAATAAATCAAGGAAAAACAATATTGTAAAGCATAATTAAAAAGTTTTAACTGTACAGTTTTAATACTTTATAAATGATCTCTAATACTTAAGTAATTAGTTCCATTAGAAACAAGCGAATATTTAAACTAATAATAATTTTTAAACAGCAGTCAATAAAGTAATCAATAAAATTCAAGGAGTAATATGTCATTTATAACAACTGAGTAGGTTGAAAATATTACTAAAGAAGGATAATTGGGTAAGTGTACAGAATTCCTGTTGTTTTTACTATTTATCATATAAATAAATAGTTTTTTATCCCTCTTGATATTTCACTGATTGAGTGCCTTAGTTTTAGTTATTAATGAGGTGGACATAATGCTCATGCACTCAGACCTGTTGGTCCATTGTTTACCCACCTAAGTGTTATCACCGAAGTTTTATTACATTATACCTATCATTGTATAAGGGTGGACCATTAAATCACCCCTATGGATGACCAAAAAGTCCTGTCTCTCCGGCGAAATTAAATATCTCTCTGGGTCTTAGGTATTTAATATCTTCTTTTTCAGAAAAAGGCTTACTCAAGTAGTTTAGATGATTCAGTGGTTAATAATTATAAAAATATATAATTGCTTATTTTATATTTATAATATTTATTTTATTTTGTATGTTAATTTGAACTTTTCTGTACTTCTTTTTCATTGATAGAAGAATATTTTACATTTTTTGTAAAAAATTGAAAAGTAGTATTTATTAATAATAAATATAGATAATTCAGTTAAAACTTATAAACATACTCATATATTTGTACAATTTGTCGGAGATTACATGTGTAAAATTTGAAAAGGATCATTGTTGTAGGAAATATTAAAAAACACTTTAGTGCATTTATCGGAGATCATAAACAGACCACTTAAGAACACTAATCTCATTACTTGACAAAAATCGATTAATACCAAATATTCGACGAATAAATGAGTAGTAGAAAAAACCCAGTACAGTGGGGACGTGGCATAGTTGGGTCCAGTATAGATTAAAATCACTATCATAAAAAAGGCTTCGATGCAAATCTGTAGATAGTGTTCAATTCTAAGAAATTGATGGATAATTACAAAAGCAACCTCAACTTCTATTTCCTTAATTATATCTAGACAAGTAATTCTTAGATTCAAAAATATAATTGTTAACGCCACGTAATGGTTCGTGAGTTATTTTATTACTATTTTAAACTTAGCGGAATGTATAATATAAAATAAATTTTACAACAATATGATTTTTATGTAATTAATAAAAAAGAAATTATTTATTAATCCACAAATATAAATTCTATAAAATTTTTAACTAATTAACATTGAGCAGAGCTAGCGGACAGGTTACTGCGGCTATTGTCGCACTAGTACTAACGAAATGAGATAATAACATGTCTTAACAATAATATATAATTTTTATAATTAATTGTTTTCAAATTATTATTGATTTCGATTTTTAATCTGTTAAAAGTAATAATTTTTGAAGTTATTGAATTTAAATGAGGATAAAATGAAATTATTTGAAATTTTTTTTTCTAACTCATAAAAAATGCAAAATATAAATTGTTATAGGTAGATTCGAACCTCGTACCCTAAACATGAAAGTCACAAGTGTACCAATTCAGCAACTGTTTATTACTTTCCTCTGGTTATAAAATTGACAATTTAAGCTAATTCAAATTTTAAAGTTACTTTTCGACTTTAAAAAAGCAAAAAAATTTAATTAAGTTTAACTTCTTATGTATTATGAACTTTATTCTATGTCAACTAAATTTAATAATATTCATGAAAATCAGTGTATTTCCCTTGTAAGATATTTTAAAATAAAATAAACTTCAAAACCTAGAATTTTAATACAACAATAGCATATATTTAATACGGTAGCTTTTTTCACCAAGAAGAAAATTTATTATTAAAATTTTTAGCTTCGATGCGAAGCTGAGAAGGTATTGGTTTTACTATAATGTGTTTTTTTTTTTTTTTGTGTGTCTGTTACCACTTTTTCTCAACTCTCACCGAACGGATTTCTTTCAACAATACGTCAAAAGATCACAAATCGTATCTAGTCGAAGACATTATCCTTAAAAATTGAAAAAAATTCCCCCGTTCCCCGTAAATGAGGGAAACCTCCAAAAAAATTACAAATTTAAAAATCGCTAATTTTCGAAATTTTTTCAATTTTTTTTACTAAAATGTGCCGTAACTTTTTCAAAAATGAATATATCAATATAACTTTTTTTTATATAGATGCTTGATGTCTTTACTTATTATTTGATATATTTTTTTTTGTAAATCTGACTCTTTATCTGCCCATAGGTGAGGATTTAAAATAACAACTTTTTCACAAAAAATTTACTTTTTCAACTTAACTTTTGAAAATGTTCCGAAAGATCTGACAATTTTATATATATCTTAAATTAATGATAATGTAATATACTTTAATTAAAAAAAAAAAAATTTGACCTCTGGACTTGTCTTCATGGTGAAAACGGCTACCGAATGCTATTTTTGTGTGAAAATTTTCGATTTTATAATTTACATTTTTTACTTTAAAGTGCTATAACTTTTTAAAAAATGTATGGATCAATACAATTTTTTCATGAAAAGCAGTATTCATATACATCTTTCATTGAACATACTTTTTTTTTAAATCAGACCATTTCCCTATGTGTGGGGGGGGGCTTAAAATATAAAAAATGCATATATAAAGTAGAACTTTTTCAACATAACTTTTGAAAATGTTTCGGAAGGTCTGACACTTTTATATATGTCTTAAATTAAAGGTAATGTAATGTACTTTATTATGTAAAAAAAAAATGTCGGACTTTATTTTGTCTTCACGGCGAAAATCGCTACCGAATGCTATTTTCGTGTGAAAATTCTCGATTTTATTTTTTACATTTTTAACTTTATAATGCTATAACTTGAAAAGTGTATGGATCCACACAATTTTTTCTGAGAAATAATATTTTTTAATAAACCCTTTTTCGTTCGACATACTTTATCTTAATCGAGATATTAATAAGGAACCAGCAGATCATGTAGCTTTTGGAATAAAACACCAATTTTTTTTAAAATTTAACACTATCTAAAGATTTCCATCGAAGCGTTTTTTTTTATAGTGATTTTAATCACTGTCAGATATCATTATACTTGATCCAACTATACCACGACACCACTGTGTCGCGACCCCCCTGTGCTGGGTTTTTTTTTTCATAGTAAAGTGTATAATATAAGTTATAATAAAGTGTCAATAACATTTTTAAAAATTAAACTGAAAAAGCTTAACTTGTGTGCAATAATTGCTTTTTTGAATCACTCCTGTGGGAGGATTTAAAGTCAGATTTAAAAAAAATTTATATCAAATGAAATATAAATATTTAAGGTTGCAATATAGGTTTGAAAATGTTCCGGATACTCTGACACACACACACATATATATATATATATATAATGTATTATACATTATTATGGAAAAAAAATTTTCGGACTTTACTTTGTTTTCACTATAACTTTTTGAAAAATGTATGGATCAATACAATTTTTTTATGATAAATACTATTTATATACCTCTTTCATTCGACATAATTTTTTTTAAAAATAACCATTTCCCTTTAAATATTTATTCCCACTGTGTTGGTTTTTTAAAATTTGTAATTAATTTTTGCTTCGTTACAACCAGTGGTGTTTTTAGATGCGATTGATGCGTCCAAGGCATATAAGCACGAGCAGAGAAAATGCCATATTTTAAAATTGTATGAGTATAATATAAAGTTAATATTAAAAAATTAATTGGTTTATATTATACCAATTAATTTTTTGTTTATGCTAAGTCCTTCGACTTGTCTGTATTTCATCATATTTGATCATAGGTCAAAGTCATCTATTAAAAATTAAATATAGGCAACTTTGTCAACAGAAGTATATGAAAGTTTTGCAATGGTTTTATATAGAAAAGAAATTATAGTATGATGAATATTAACTTGATATTATCGAATTTTTAATGGAGAAATTTTTTTATACATTTAGTTTTAAGAATACAATTACTTCTCCAGTATTGTGTAATCTTATTTATTTTAACAAAATAAATAAATTTGCTTAATTTAATTTACAATAACTACAAATTTAAAAATGATCTTGTTAATAGTTTTATGTTGTAGTAAATTTCGTTAGAGTTATCTAATAAAATCTTAATTAAAGATAATTATTTAAATAGATAACAAAATTTAAACATTTTTCTATCACATCTAGATGTTGAAATAATTATTAATTTATAATTCATACAATAATTATACAGTAAAATCTTTATAAAAATATTAAAATTTTTTTTTTTTTTAACTATCTTAAAATTATTTCATGATGTTTAACAGGATTTGTGAAAATTTTAGAGCTATTCTATCAAATTAAACAGACTTTTTTAATTCTTAAAGTTGATTTTTCAACAAAAAACTTTAAGTATAATTTTTTTTGGTTTAACTTACAATAATGAAACTTTATCCATTATATAGATAATTTTATAAGTATATAAACATATTAACTTAGTACAGTTTAAGTAAAAATAAGGTGAAAAAAGGTGTTACTACAAAAAGAATATCAGGATAATTCGTAAAATTACTGGAAAAATTCTTTTATATACTATTCTAGTATAGTTTAATTTTGAAATAATCAGTGCTCGAATTGGCCAAAAATAAGTAGGGGAGCTCAACTTAACAATTTGAAAACTGCGTCCCTAGCATTTTGAAGTCTTTTTTTTTTTTACTCATTACTTTATTTAGTATTTATTAATAAATTATATTTCATTATCATACTAATATTTAAAAAAAAAAAAGAGGTGGTATTTTCCACCGTCCTCATAAAAAAAAGTAGTTGGGGTGCGCAAAAAAATTTTAAAAAAAGTAGAGGAGCTACGTCCCCCTGCGCACTCCCCAATTCGAGCACTGGAAATAATTGAGTTATAATATATACAATCTTATATTAAATTTATTTTAAATATGAATACAATCTTATTTATAAATAAAGGTTTATAAATGAGTTACTTAATATGCTTTGATATTTGATTTATATTTTATACACGTCAACTTACCGAGTAATTAAGTAATGAAAACCTTTTAGTCGACCATTAACCCAGTTTCTAATAAACTTAATTATATACAAGGAAATAAAATAAAAATGCTTATTATTAATCATTTTATTAAAATGATATCAATAATAATAATTATTGATTAAAATTCAACTGTGGATCTCATTTTAGTTAGTTTTGGGTTTTTGACTGGATATTATCATATCTTTCCACTATAAAGTACAGCATAGGAATCGGATCTTTTCTATTATAGCCAATTTTATCAAACATAGTAAGAGATATATCGTTAAATCTACTTATTATTGCATGTGGTGATATTCCTCTTAATCCCATTTGTTTAGTGACGGCTTTTGTGATTAATTTACCCAATCCGTTATTTCTTTTATCAGATCGAACAACTAAAGTAGTTAAACCACCATAACTTCCACACATGGCCCATGCAAGCAGATCGTTATTATTTTTACTGAATATTCCGTAGCCAAAATTGTAAATAACTGAATCTTCAATATCCGATTTAGAATAGACATCACTGTGTTTCCATTGTGAATACATAAAATCTACATGATTTTTATTAAGCTGACTTATGAAAACATCGTCTGGAATTCTACAACAAATACAGCATTTACATTTTATTTATTATCATTTTAATATAATTTATTCAGAATAATTCTATACACTAAATATTAAATGAAAAATAAGGAAAATTATTTTAGATATGGTCGAAAATAGAAAACAAATTTTTTGGGTTTGCTTGTTGATATATTTGAATGGTTTTTGTATAATAGACAGTAAGCTTTACAAGATAAAACATTATAATCCAAACTAGTTAAAAATCATACTAGCCCAAATTAAGGGTCCCCGAGCTTTAATTTTTAGAGGGTCTTTGATTTTTTTTGTTGAGTTATAAAAATATAGATTGAATGACACTAATGTTATAGAGGCATTATTTAATTGTTGGACTCTAAGTCTTACAATAAGGATGGATTTAGAATTATTTTAAATGAATGGAGGTGTACAAAAAGTTTATAGGTGATAAAATAAATTTTTTGCCAATTTTATTAATTAAAATATCTTTTTTCAGTAGTTAATGATAAATCAAAAAGGGGAGAAATGATGCCTGCGCTCACCTCTTGATCCGTCACTACCTTATATCTTTATTCGAGTTTGAAATTATAAAAATATATAGAATATACCTTATGTATATATTTTATAAATATAAAAATTATCTAGCTCAAAACTAAACTTAAGAGGGCGTCCAAGTAAAAACGATGCGCATATAACGCTCCTGAGATGGCGATGTGGTCCATTTGGGCGGCAAGGTCACACTATCAGTCCCTACTACCTCTCTCCAGCGATCACTGCCGTTGAATCGTTCCAAACCGATACAGTTTTAATTAGTGATGGGCATTTTCGAATATTTTAAACTATCGATTAGTATTAAACTATTCGAATTGTTTTTATACAATAAAATAGTTTATTTTTAGCATAAACTATCGAATAGTTTTAAAATCGATTATTTTCGTCCTAGTATAGAAAAGAAGTTTTTTTATATCTTTTTATGCAGCTATCACAGTCATAAAGACACAATCACCTTTACAGTAATCTGTTAGTTTTTAGTGAGAACGGTTTTGCCTTACAAATAGTTTGTATGGAGGCAAAATAAACATTTTAATTATTTTCTAATTTTTTTGTATGTATGATTTTGATATTTTTTTTTAGCTCTTTTATATCCAATCAAGAGCAACCTTTTAGGGAAATGAGGATCTTCAATCTCGAGCAGTAACCACTCTATGTAAAACATACTATAATATAGTGACTGTGTAACACGTGTTTTACAAAATACACAAAATGTAGTAAAGTTTAAATATCAGAGTATTCTGATGACGACACAATAGTTAGAAATTATAACTTTCAGTGTAACATTATAATGCACAATGAAGCAAGAAATAAGAGTTCATTAAATAAATTCATACTTGGTTAGTAAAAAATTTTGTGTTTGATATTACCAAGAAATAATTTACATAAACAAATGTATATATACTCACATTTGTTAATACCGATTATCCAACACAAACCGATATAGGAATCGTAAAATAAACGCCATTTCACATTTATCAAAAAAAAATCAAAAATAGCTTTATCATGTATTATTTTTTTACAATTTCGTTAAAATTCAATTTCCAAAGAATTATTATTTATGATAAACCTTAAATTAAACTAGGCGTGAAAAACGTCGTGTGTGCAAAAAATGGAAGTTAAAAATTTTTTTTCTCTGAATTAAAAAAATACTCTACTTGGCGATAGGATCAAGTGTAATAATTGTATGCAATTGGAGTAATTGTAAATGCATATTTTCTCTCAGAATATATAGCAGATTTTATTTTAGATTGAAAAGTTGAAAAGATAAATTGGGTGTCGAAATGTTCATATAAAATTTAATATAAGTTTATATTCTCTATAGTAAACTTAAAAAATCCCCATTTATCCTATGAATTTTAATATATGTTAAGATTATTAAATACGCGCTTAATTATTTAGAATTTCTTATCACACATTGTGAGTCTTAAAAATCAAAAAATGGTCTTGAGTAATACCTTAAACTACGTATAAATAAATTCAGGATCGGTAAACTTTAAATTCCTACTCAAATTTTTTATGATCTTTATTTTTTTGGTTAATAATTAATTTTTTGGAGAAAAAATATCTGATTTTTGTCGAATACTAAAATATCAGCTACTAAATCCGTCCACGAATATAATGTATGCTGTCGACTCATATTTATGATAAGTGTGTTTTCGAATGTTAAAAAAAAAAACTCCATGTAAATTTCTGACAGATTTCTGATCACTAGATATTTTTATTAAATATTTATTATATTTTACGAGTAAAAACCATTGAGTAACTATGGTAAAAAGGATTGCAGTAAAATTGAAATTGGAGTCCCTTTACCCGTCAACAATAACAATTTTTTTATAAATTCACATAAGTGGTTGCTAAATTGTATTCTGGTTCGTCGATAACAAAATATAAAATAACTGGTTTTGATTATTCGCGTGGGAGCAGTTGAAGGGGAGGGTAATCGGTTACCTCCGCACAACAGAAAATTCGTTACGTTATAAATGCCACTAGAAATCGATACATGTTGACAGGCAAAAATTCATTTTTTTGCACAAAAACTGAGATCTATATAATTTTGTTAACCCAACTCTGAAGTTATTTATTGAACTTTTAAAAACCAAATATTAGGAATATTTACTTATGAATAAAAACTATAAATGATGTTAATGAAAAAAAACGCTAGATTTAAGATAATTTTCTCCTTTATAATTTGGTTAAAATTTTGGGACTAGTATCAATACAGATCAAATAAAGTAGTCCAACGTAAAACATGTTAAAATCGTTTATTCTATGTATCATGTTAAATAAAAGTTTGGATAAATGTTATGTCATAGCCTTTTTTTGGTCAGGGTTTTGGTTTTATTTTTTTCTTTAATAACAAATAGAAAATAACTAAACCGGACCGTCTATTAATAGCAATAATTTTAGTATATTTGAGCGGCAAATTCAAACAACCAATGGAATAAATATTTTACAAACGGTAACAAATTCAAATAAAATGTAAGTTAATAACATCAAAATCAATCACTTCGTAAATTTATTTAAATAATATATTTAAAAAAAATTTTATGTAATCGTCAACATAATGTCTATTTTGATTTAGGGAGGGGTGGCCTAGCCCCTTTAGTTGGCATCTACGATTTGTGAAGATCATTAAAACATTTAAGAGGTTAATTTTTTTTTTTTGATTGACGTCCGAGTTTTGGAAAATGTATGCCACGTGAAAAATTTCCTTAAAACCATCCGTCAAATCTATCTTGTATACAGGACCGTTTTAGGGGTTGCTCGGAGGCGCAATAAATTTAATAGTACAGAATTTTAATAGTACAGAGCAAAACCTACAAAATTTGTAGGTTGGGTTTAAAATTTAATATTGTCAACTTACAGTCGCGTAACCAAGTGTATCGTAAGATGATTTTATGTAAGCTCTCATGTGCTGCTATAACTCATTGATTTTGATAAATATTGGATTTGTCATCTTACTCCATCGTACCCTACATAAAAAAATTCAAAAGGAGCTGAGATGGGGTTCAAACTTTAATAAAAAATTTTTTATTTAAATATTTTTATATATTATTTTATCTTTTGGGGTTAGCTTGGTCTGATGAGGGGTAGAAATTTATATTTCGGTGAACTGAGTTCCGGGTTCGATCCCCAGGGTGCCGAGTTTTTTTTGTGATTTTCTTATTGGTGGTGCCTGATCTCTAGTGCAAGTCAGCCATAATACCTGTCTCGTCCATCATTGGCCTAGCCAAGAATCATCACTGACTCCCCAACATATGAAGAAGGGTACTACCCTTTGTAGTAAGTTCAGGAACTTGAATGATATAAAAATGAGAATTTTTTTATATTATTGTAATTATATTGTTATTTATATAATCAAATAAATCCAAATTTTTATAATAATATAAATATTTTTTATTTTTATAAATACTTTATTTTTTTATTTTTTTATTCGCCTTGTGATTAATAAGTAAAAATTGTTGTTATTTACTCAACTATTTAATATATGGTAAACAATTAAAGATAAGATAATCATTTTCTTGGAAACTATTGAAAAGTTTATATTTTTGTAATAGAAAAAAATATTCAATTAAAAAAACATTACAATAATAATATTATTTCTTTTACGAAAATTAAATAATCTCAATAGATACCAAGAAAACAAATGTCTCATTCTTAATCTATTATTATGTATTAACTATAGTTGATTATACGTAAAATTTGTATTTATTTATCACAAAATCAAAAAATAAATTATGCCACATGAGTACTAAAGATATATGCACATGGAAATAATAAAATAATAAATATTGTTCTCATTGTTTGTAACAATGAGAACAATAGAAACCCGTTTCCAGACTTACTGAACACCCTGTATACATTTGGTTCTTGTCGAGTAATGAATCAAATACGTTGTGTTGTGATACCGACCCATATCACTTTGAGTATTTTTTTTATTGGGAAATAACCTGCCGTTATAATAAGCATTGAGCTCAGTGGAAATTGGATAATTTACGATAAAATGAATCCACCTTGTGTAGAACACTAAATAACTGTTACTATTTCTTTCAAGTAACAAATTGTTATTGCTAATAAAGCAGTAAATTTTATAAATCACTGTTATTGTTATTTTTTCCAATCACTATGCGACAGCATTTGTGAGGAGCTGCATCCTTGTCAGTAGACAATTCTTATGATAAAACGAACTATACTATAATATAGCATATGTAAATGATAGCTATTTCACGTTTTCCTTGTATTTAAGTTTTTATTAAATTTTCATGAAAGTAATACCAAAAAAAAAAAGCTTATTGTAATAAGTATTGTTCAAATAAATTTCATTAGGATAAGTATCTTTATGACATAGTTATAGCAGTTTTTAAATATTAGTATGAATAGTAGTTAAAAAGGAAAAAATTAAAAATTATTTCTTTACAATAACTTAATTTTGAGATATTTTTCTAAATTTCTAAAGTTGAGAATACGCATAATAAGGATCAGTATAGATTGAACTCTAAAAATAATTATTAAAACTATTATTTCTTAAACCCTTCCCAAAAGTTTTATACAAAAATTTATATAATCTTTCTGAATTTTGAGAGTTTAACGACTATTTGTATATAAAAGATAAGTCAAAGTCTTAAAAATAATTATTTCAATTATTTTTTTCTGAATTAAATAGGGTCAAATGTCATAATGCATTTTTTTTTTAGATAATTACAAGTTTTTATCTCGAATTTAAATTCTATATGATATCAACATATAAGCACCATAACTTTTCAATATACAATAATAACTACTAAAAATTCTAAGAGAAAAATGAATTTAGAATTACTCTATTTGTTTCTAATAACCCACTTCACCCTATATACAAACTTTAACTTAAGATACATTTAAAGATATTCAATTTTCAACAATTATAAAAGAATAAATGATGATAGTAATATACGTTTTTAAATATAAAATTATGTTTGTAAATTTAATATTTGGTATATTAGCTAAGTACGAACATTTTTATAAATTAAATATTATTAGTTATTTGTTTCAGTTTTATATTATAGTGACTTTTTGGATTAGACTATTAAGAAATACTATTAAGTAAAATATAGTATGTTAAGTATATTTGCTCTTTTCGTAAGTACTACAGAAAGTTGAGTAAACGAAAAAAAATCATACGCATTTTTACAAATTTCAGAAGTTTACTTTTTCATTTTAGCTTCAACTCGCTCTAAAAAAAACAAAAAATTAGTCATTAAAGTGTAAAATTAGTCATTAAAGAGTGAAATTAGTCATTAAAGTACACTATTCAGTATAAAATTTAATGCTTTAAAAACTGATATTTAACTTTTTTCTTTTAAACATAGTAACTCGAGTAATCGTGTTGTTTTATGCTTAATATTATAACATTTGAAGAAGTATTAGAAAAATCGTTGAATTAATTTAGCTTGAACTCCACAATATTAGTAAAATTTGGCTATGAAAATATATTTTCGAATAGAAAATTTTATACTTTACAAAGTTGATACCTTGACATTTTTTTCAAAATGCAAGAAAACATCGTTGCATTACACGAATGAGAACAAAATCAAAAAAATCTTATCTGACTCTAGCATTATCTCAATAGATGCGAAATTATTATGCAATTCTATAGGTTAAATAAAATTCTCTACACCTTTCTATAGAAAATCAAATTGTCTACAATTTTGATCTGTAATAATTTTTTTTTTTATATAACAGATTTATATTAATTTTGAAAAAATAAAATGAAATACGATTTCATGTAAAAATTAGTTATTTAGAAAATGTTATTTAATAAAGAGTGTTATTATTTTGGTACCGCACAAGTAATAACAATTTTATTATGAAACCAAAGCCGGTTTTCGAAACACCACCGCCGACGACTGCACATGAGCAACAACCTCCGAAAAGTGCGTCGCAAAACTGTGTAAATATATGAAAACATGTAAGAGATATGATACGTCGTAGAGATTTGACCAATATGTCAAATTTAGCATTATAAAATTATAACATCCGTTCATAGGCGATTTTTGATAAACCAATTTAAACAAAATTATAACAGCTTAAAGTAACGTAAACTTTAAATGGTTATAACTCTTTTTTAAAGTTTTTACTGAGACTCAAGCATGGACAGATGTAGATAATTTTGTCGTGTTTAATTTGACATATTCATGTCTCTATGACCATTCAATCCTCCAGAATCTATGATCGCCCGAGATATGTTTTGATATGCCGTAAAAAAGTACTTGGACGCCCTATTAATCCTAAAATTTGATATCGTTGAAAAAAAAGTACTTCAGTTCTAATTGAGCTGCTTCGTTGGCGGGCATCCATTTAAGAATACTATCAGCATATAATTTACTTTCTAAACCCTTTGTTTTGATGGTTGTCTTAATAACATCTACCATTCTTCCAACGTTTGCTTGAAATAGAAGAGTTCTCTGCCAATTGAAACGTTTGGTAGAACTTAAAATTCTTATATAATTATCTTCATTACCAGGAAATGTATACGTAACAATTATAACAGGATATTGGTTTCCCTGGAAATTCAGTTATTATTAATAATTGAACAATAATTTAAAAGAAAAAAATATTTGTCATTTGATTTGCAATAGGTTCTGCAGTGGCATTTTTGAAAAAAAAATCTTCTTTTTATATCAGGCTATAAGTTGATTTGTGAGCGTATTCCTTAAGTGTTCTATAAGGTTCTGATGTATTTGATTCAGCGAATATTCTGTGTTACCTTTTTTAAAAAATAACTTTTAATGTAGTTCAAAACTAAAAATTATTTAAAAAATGCAACAACAAATATTTGATGGATCAAAAATTATTAAAAATGTCAAAATCTAGTGGGAAATTCTGTGTATATTATATAAGTATTATTTCTTAAGGTATACGTTAATTAAAAATATTTTTAGTGGGTATACCATACAAAATACCACTGGGATTTGATATTTGTATCATTCTCCCAATTATTTGCTTGAAAATTTATTTACTTACAACTTGGTATTGAATACCTAAAAATGTGCCATTTTCAATATCACTTGGAACGTAGTATAATTTGTAACTTGTTGGTGCATTACTTTTGTTCCATTTAAAACCATTTTTTATAAAATAATATGCCTGAAATTATTTATAGTACATTTATTAGATTTTGATCTAACTATAATAAATCAAATTTAATATATTTATTAAAACTTAAACGACAATTTTTCTTTTGGATAGTTAAAAAAAAACTCAGTGAAATCAGGTTTGGTACAGTAGAAAAAGGTCATAAAGGAGATAATTATAGATTGAATTCTGATAATAATCAAGATTACTATCATAGAATGCTTCGATGCGATTGTGCTTAAAGAAAGTTAGATTATTTTAATCTTCATTAATTAATAATTAGTAATAAATTATTACTAATAATAATAGTTTGAATTGAAATTGTAATTTATCATAAGGCGTTGGTAGTTAAAACATATTATACTAAAGAAGGATATTTTTAAAAATCAGGGGTACTAAATCCTTATATGCTTATACTGTTTGTCCTAAAGTATATGCACTAATAATTGAAAACAAAATTAAAGTTGAATATTATAATAATACAAAAAACAATAATATTTTGGACATAAATAACATCTTAATTATCAATGGTAATTAAAATGGGTAAAATAAAAGCTGAACTTTCGCTAAAACTATTTTGATACCTTATATATATATATATATATATATATATATATAGATAATAAATTATCTTACAGTTATGAATAATAACTGCCTTAAATGAGACCACTATCTTTAACAACATAATAGTATAGAAAAAAATAATTTCAAAAAATTGTGTTCTATAATTTTTTTATCCAATTGAACGTTAATCCGTTAAAGTATTTTAGTACATAAAGCATGTAGCACAAGTGCAGTATACTTACACCTATACAAGTTGTAACCATATTACTCTATATTTTAGGTTTTATCATAACACGCTAATTACGTGCAAAATTATGTTATTTGATAAATTCATCAACATTAAAATTGTATTTTTATACAATATCATAAATAGTACTAACAGACAAAAAATTTTAAATATAATAACTAACATATCACTAAATTGTATTAGTTAATATTTTACAAAACTGTTATTTTATTGTGAGCAATTTTCTAAATATTAATTGTAATACCATTACAAATTAGTAATAATATATTACAACTTTCAAGCATTTTGTTATATTATAAACTACAATATACGTTGAATTTGGTTATTTTTCGAATTGTAAACTATTGAATAAAGACAAATATATATTATGATTTCATGTATAAAAATAAAGTGCTAAAGGATTATTTCTTATCTTAAATTGCTTGTGAAAAATGAGTCAAGTCATAGTGATAATTTATTAATCGCGGGTAAAAGGTTAATACATTAGATGAAGTACGCAATTTAATAACAATTATAAGTTTATTACATTTAAGAATACAACTTGGTAAAAATATATCGTACAAAACAAAAATGAACGTTAATAGTGTGAGAGCAATGACCGACTAAATGAGATACAAAAACTAAGGTTAGACCAACAAAAATAATTAAAAAACACCATTAGTATATTACTTATAAAAATCATTAACAATGTTAGGAACATATAACAAAAAAAAATAATAATAACAATATATCATAATGATGAATAATTGAAGCGAAGTCAGTTTTCCCCTACACTATTCTTCTCTGACTTAATGCAAAAGAAAAATTACGTTTTTACGAATTTTTTAGTGGTAACTTCTATGTATGGATAGCTATGATCTGCTAGCGAACATCTCCTAGGATGAATACTAGATTTAATCGGTCTGCCATAATCCACGGTACTTTGTTATGTAGTTGTATCATATAAATTGTATCACAATGATCTAGTAAAATAGACAGGGCGTATTTCAATGGTCTGTGAATACGTTCGATTATTCCATTCATCTGGGGAGATAGTAAGAAGAACGTATTTGATCTGCTCCAAATGTATCTACGAGTGCTCTAACAGATCCGAATTATCAGTCTTAGTCAGATGTTAAAACCGGTACGCCAAATCTTGCGATTTACCATTCCCTGATTTTCTTTGCTCAAGCAGCGGCCGTTATGTTACGAATTGGTCACACTTAAGACCAATGGGTGAAATCGTCAAGGTAGGTAAAAATGTACATGTACATTCGTTTGCTAGATTGAGCGGCCTAACGGTATCAATGTGGATATGTCTGAATCTATGCTGCGTAAAGCATACGGCGTAATGTTGTAACATTGTTTTATCAAATTTACTGTCCCCTCGGCGTCCGTGTAATGTTTCGAAAATTTGTCGTCGGCGTGTTAGTGGCATGTACAGCCTAAGTACAAATAATAAGGATGTAGCTACGTATCTATCGAGCAATTATTTGAGTTCCACGTCATTCATCTGGCCCACATCAAGTTGATTTGCGCTCAAAATTATCCAATAACTAGTACAGTCAGAGAAATCACTGTGATTTTTGAATCATGGATATCTTTCGAAGTATTATTAATATAGTTTAGAGATGAATTGTACCTGTCTATGGCGGTACCATTTATAAGATTTTCTCCTCGCCTTTACATAAACTCTGAGGTTCGCTAGGTGTATCCCCTAAATCTCTACTTGATACGATTTCTTACATCTATACCTATTTTCTCCTATCTTATCTACATTTGACGTTACTCCTATGCTTAATATGTATCATTTATAAGTTATGATAGATTTTTGTGGTTATATTTATAATAATAACTTGTTATTATAGAAAACAATCGGTATCTCACACCGCACTGTACCATATATGTATTATTTCTTTTATTAAAATTTTTTTTAGTTATTTATTACAAAAATGAACGTTGTCAGTCTATCTTATATCTTCTGTTGATAATTCAAACTTCGATAATTACATTTCAGAATTTTTATCAGAAGATGGTTCTGGAGTAAGTAATCATGATTTTAAATATGATTAAAATACTGATATTATTAGTGAAATTGATGAATTTAATAGTTCTAATAATAATGAAACATTACAATAAACAAATTCAAAGTTTTTTTTATGGAAAAAAAAATATAAATGGTCGGTAAATGACATTACATCAAAATAAACTGGGAACGCGCGTCACAATACTTCTGAAAGTTATGCGAACCCGTAAAAAACTTAGATCACTCTGCGAACCCTTCTGATATTTGTGATATATAACTTACTGGTTCTATTATAAGGAAAATTTTAATTCGGTTTGCAAAAATTCATAGCATCCGTCAAAAATATAGACGAAAATTGAGTCTTACAAAAAACACTGATAAAATTGAATTACGATCGTTTTTTAATATTATTTTTACAATGCTATTTTTAAGTCAAATTATAAAAGTGTCGGTCTATTATTAGGACTAGTAATAGGACTAGTCGAGAAATAATTTATTTAGTGGTGAGTAAAAAAAGTTTTTTATTTTTAATTAACTGTTTACCTTGATAATCCGGATAATAGAAATGAAAAAAAAAAGAAAATAATTCTACTTTTTCTACTTCTGACATTTTTGATAAATTCATTAATAGTAATAAATCATTCGTTGGATTTCTGTGCTACTTTAGACAAAATGCTTATTAGCTTTCGTGAGAGGTGCAAGTTTAAAGTGTACATACCCAAAAAAGCTTGTAAATATATGTCTAACTGATTCCAATAGTCATTATTAATATATTGAATATATTTATGATGATCAAAAATTTCAATGGATACTTATTTTAGATTTAGCCGAAAAAAGAATTGCAAAACCAATTAGGTCAGTTTTGAGGTTAGCTAAACCAATACACAGTTCAAATAGAAATATTACACTCGTTAATTGGTTTTGTTCCATAGAATTAGTAGAGCTTTAAAAAGAAAACCTAACACAGTGGTGTTGCGGCACAGAGGAACGCGGCAAAGTTGAGACGTAGAAGTATATATGATATCTTTAGTTAATTATTATCATCAAAAGGCATTAATTTATATCTGTTAAATTTTATAATTTGTATATTTTTAATTTTATAATTTTTATGATTTTTATTTTACTCGAATATTAAATGCTAGTTCAATTATTTGTTAAAATAAAAATAACAATATTATTTTGCTTTAACGTTCAATTTCACATAGTAGAACAGTCGTATGTAATTTTTTTTTTTAATATTGTAATACACTTCAAAAGCTTTATTTTGATATAAGTTTAAATTATCAGGTCTTTTGTAATATTTTAAAAAGTTGAGTTGAAAAAAAAATAGACTTGTGTAGATGGTCTTTTTGGATTCTTTTGATATTTAAAAATTAAAATTATATTAAAAATATTAATTTAAAACTAAAAATGTGTTAAAAATATTTAACTCAAAAAGCCACAAAAATTATTAAAAATCGTGGACGCGTATTTCGGAAATATTGTTACTATTATCAAGGCTAAGCACATACTATTTTTTTAATTAGTATTTCTTTATGGTAATTTTTTTGTGATTTTTTCAATAAAATTTTGTCGAAAAGTTGAAGAATTCTGAATAGAAATTGGGCGGATTGTCATATCTCGGATGTACGCCGGGACAACAGATAAGATGAAATAAATTAGTTAGAGACAGATGGTCTAAAGAATAAAGTGTTTATTATCAGCCGAATAACTTGTAGGGTAGCTGTTTCATCAGTAATGTGTACAGGCCTATCCAACACTCATAGTGTCAACGGCGAAGGGACTTCATCACTCAATTTTAGGTTGGACTCGTGTATAAGGAAGAAAGAAAGATACAAACTAAGAATAGGTATGTGAAATGTTGGAACATTAACTGGTAGAAGTAGATAATTAGTAGATGCATTGAAGAGAAGAAAAGTTAATATTTGCAGTGTGTAAGAAATTAAGTGTAAGGGAGAGAAATCAAGAAAAATAGGTTAGGATTATAAAATAATATATTCGGGTAATACCAATATAACGGATGGTATAGGAATAACAATGGATGAGGAGATGAAAAATAAAGTAATAGAAGTAGTTAAGGAAAGTGACAGAATTATAATCGTAAAATTAATTTTTGAGTGCTTTTTGAAAATAGGCAAGAAAGTGTTTTGGAGATATGAATGAGGTGGTACAAAGTATATCTGGTTATGAGGATGAAAGAATCCTGGATTTTGCAGTGTCGTATGATCTTGCTCTGATACTTATTTTAGAAAGAGAGAAAAACATTATATAACTTATTAGAGTCGGAGTAATATATCACAGATTGATTATTTGATGTAAGGCTAGTAAAATATTGTAAATTTATGCTAGGCTAGTATGTAACTTCACAACATAGAATGATGGTAATAGAGTTGTGGTGTAATGGGAAGAGAATATACAAAAATCGAGGATTCGGTGATTGAAATTGAAAGGAGAAAATGAAAAAGAGTATTTAAAGAAGGTAAAAAAGAAGGCGGTGTAGAATGTAGAGACAGACATAAATGATGTGTGGAATAGATTTGCTAGTTGGAAAATATCAGACATGTTGCCATAAGGTTATTGAAAGATCTTTATAATAAAATCGTATTAGAAGGAAAAATATCAAAAGAATGGAGGAATACTATTGTGGTGCCGATATTTAAAGGCAAAGGTGACATAGGAGTGTGGAAATTATAGAGGTATAACGCTTATTAGTTATAGTATGAAGATTTCGAAAAAGGTAATAGCCAAAAGAATAACATGAGAAACATGAATAACAAAGAACCAGTATGGTGTATTGCCTACAAAATCAACGAAGGAGCCAGTTTTTTGTGTAAGATAACTAATAAAAAAGTATATTGAAAAGAAGAAAATTTTATCTTTGATATTTATAGATTTGTCGAATGAAAGAGGTATATAAATAGTATTTATCATAAAAAAATTGTATTGATCCATACATTTTTCAAAAAGTTATACTATTAAAAATTAAAAATATAAAAAGAATTTTTTTACAAAAATCTTATTTTTTTATTAACTTTGATGTCCGTTTTTACCATAAAAAAAAATAAAGTCCGAAATGTTTTTTTTCAATTATAAAGTATATTACATAAGCTTTAATTTAAAATATATATAGAAGTGTCAATATTTCCGGAACACTTTCAAAAGTTTAGTTGAAAAAGTTAATTTTTTATAAAAAAATCATCATTTTGAATCCTCCCTGTGGGCAGGCCACATTATAAAAGGTCAGATTTATAAAAAAAAATATAACAAATGATAGGTAAAGACATCAAGCATCTATAAAAAAAAAATTATATTGGTTTGTTCATTTTTGAAAAAGTTATGGCAGTTTTAAGTAAGAAAAATGTCGAAAATTAGCAATTTTTAAATTTGTAATTTTGTTGGATATTTTCCCCATTTACGGGAAACAAGGGAATTTTTTTCAATTTTTAAGGGTAATGTTTTCGACTAGATACGATTTATGATCTTTTGACGTATCGTTGAAAGATATCGGATCGATGAGAGCTGAGAAAAAGTGGTAACAGACATAAAAAAAAAATACATCATAGTAAAATCAATACCTTCTCAGCTTCGCATCGAAGTTAAAAAGTTAGTAACCGTTAAAAACTATACCCTCAATAAATACGTATAACAAATATATGTACAGTATGATTTTATGATGGATGATACACTTTCAAAATTTAAGTGTAAAAGTAAATTTTTTGTGAAAAAGTTGTCATTTTAAATCCCCTCCTGTAAGCAGGTAAAAGGTTAAATTTATGAAAAATATATACCAATTGATAGGTAAAAACATCAAGCATCTATAAAAAAAAAAATTATATTGATATGTTCATTTTTTTAAAAAGTTATGGCAGTTTTAAGTAAAAAAATTTCGAAAATTAGCAATTTTTAAATTTGTAATTTTGTTGGAGGTTTCCCCCATTTACGAGGAACGAGGGAAATTAACTCTAGTTTGAAAAACCAATTGATCATATGCCAAAGGATTTTCATACACTTTTGCTCTTTATTGTGTTTAAATGTGACATTTAATGTATCTTTATGCTACTAATTTATTTAGTAATGTTTTATGAATCTATGAAAATGACTATATTATTTCTTTTAATTACAAAAATATTACAATATTTTTAATGTTAATAATTTTTTTAATATTAAATTTTATTTACGACAAGTAATACTTCCGTTTTGAAGTTTTACACTTATCATATTTTGACTATAATATGTTACAAAACATTTAGTTGATAAATTAATTCATCCTTTTTGGGTTGCTGGTAGTTTTTATATATTTTACATATCTATGATATAAAATATACATTTAAATAATTTTAATATTTAACAAAGTAGTAATTATTTTATTAAATAAAAATTAAAAATAATATATTTTTTTGGTATCTAATTTACAAAATGTATAAACATATTAAAATTTTCATCAGTCTAAACGTTTAGATATTTTATTTTTATCTTAGGAAATATAAATAGAAGACATTAGATATTTTTAATGGTCAAATAAGTTTACTTAGCGATAATTTTAATGCATTAAAATTACTTTCTATAATGGTTCATTTGTTAATTATAACGATGTTCGATATCATACAAATCGTGTTATTCCCAGTCATCTCTAGTCAAATTTAGTAAAAATTTTATATATTGCATAATACCAAATTTTTAATTTTAGCTAAATATCATTTGGAAAATGTTTATTTTATTTATTTTTTTTGTTATAGTTAATTAAAAATCTATACAATTAATTAGTATAATTACTACAAAATTTTGAATTATTAAAAAATGAACACTTTTTTAAATAAACTATTTAAGGTGTTCTTCTTCTTAAAATTATCTAGTATATTGTATTAAATGATCCCAAAATTTAAAAAATTTCGGTATGGTACTTTTAATATACACATTACTTTTACACACGATTGGTGTAATTATGACATAAAGTATCGAAAAATCGTATTATATTCGTTAAAAAATTCCAGTATATATATATATATCTAAAAATTCTTAGTCTTGTAAAGAGTGTAGTGTACTAACTTAGTTTATTATATTCTTAACACAATTCGAGTTATTTACATAAAATGTTTCTTTCATTTTTCACATTCGCACAAATATTTAAATACTTACATGCATGCTGTCTGGCCAATCACGTTTTAGTACTTGTTCACAAAAAAATTCGGCGATTTCGCTTGGCATTTCTTCAAGAATTTCTATATCCATTGTTTTTGTAAATTTTAATTAAATATAAGTAATTAATTTAACAATTAAACCAATTAAAAATTAATCGGATTTTAATGTTTAATTAATGTAAAAAAAAATCAATAATTATAGATTTACCGAACTATAATATCAACCGATGCACAACTAGTCAGTAAGTACCAGTATGTAGTAATGAACTAATAAAACTTGCAAGGCCATGAAGTGCAATAAAAAAAATTCTGACGAGTTTTACCCGTATCTTTAAGATGATTCAAATTAATCGACACCAATATACAGCATGTAGCATCATTATTTTAAAAGTAGAGAGATTAAGTAAGTAATATTGTTGATCTTTCCACTTGTATATTATCAGTAGCTAAAATATTTTATGGTTTGTTTAACTCAAAAATTGACACTATGACCGGTCCTGATCAAATTCCTTCGTTCCTAATTTTTAAATGCTGTTATTCTTTTTCACATTCGATTCACTTCATTTACTCTTTATTTTTATAATTGGAGAAATATTCTTTATTTTGGAAATCTCCCAATCTTTACATCAGGTCTGATTTTAGGTATGATGTATCAAATTATCAACTTATCTCTAAAATTGGAGTCTTACTAAAATTACTAAAAAAATTTTTAGAACAAAAAATATTTGTGATTTTAAATAAAACACTAACATAATGTCAATATAGATTTCGAAAAAAAATGTCAGCTTTTATTTTATTACTTTGACTTAGTCTCGATAGCATCATGCTATTTATATGGACTTAAGAATAGTCTTTGGCAGTGTTAATCACAGAAAGTTATTTATAAACATGAGCAATTAAGTATTAATGGATCTTTTTAAAGTTGCTTAAATTATTTCATTTCTAACAAATAAATACGTAAAAATTAATAATAATGTTTCAAAGTAACCTCGAGATTATCTCAAGGTCATCAAGTCATCTATCTTCAATATTGTTTAATATTTTTATGAATGACTTGGAAAGTATGTTTTGTATTGAAAATATCTTTTATTTGCTGATGACTTAAAACTAATTTTGAAATAAATAATATTAATGACTTTGAAAATTACAATCTAATTAAGATATATAAATAATGATTTTAAATTTTTATATAAAATATTTAATATTGATATCGATTGTCTGGAATTACTTGCTCAGGTTCATTAAATGTTCCGGTACACTATATTAAATCTTCGCTTTTTTTATACATTAAAAGTAATAAGAAAAACTATAGTATATTGACTTCTCTTAATAGAATATTTTCTAATTGCAATAGTCTAACTAATTTTGGTTTTTTGTCGTTTTTCATTTTTTATGTTTATTTTATTATAAATTTAATTTAATCTTATATCTGTTAATATTACGTTAAGTATTGTTTCAACATGTACTTATTTGACTGTGGAGGCGTAAATTATTTGTTTCTTATAAATGAATAGATAAATAGTTATGTAATGATACAATATTTAAGTAGTGATGGCACAATCTTTTGCGGGATCCTAGACAAAACTTGTAAAAAAAATTAAAACTTATTCGGAGCTTTCAGTGATATTGTAATTTCAGAACCGTGAGACTTAAAATACAATTTTTAATCGCTAGGCCCGGTGCAAAAAATAAACATTATTTTAATTATAGATAGTGTAGTATTAATAACTAAAATACTTTAAATTTAAAATTGCTACAATTTTTAATTTTTCGTGAGCACATGCTTGTGCTTTAAGTTGTTAATTTTTGAAATTGAATTAGCAATAGACTTGATTCCAGTAAATATTTCTCTTCCCGTTGGTACAATCTTATCAGCCGGTAACAGAAACCCATAAAAACCTGTATCAGGAAGTTCAATCGTATAACTGTATTTAATACCAGCTTTACCCTTAGCCCAATCATCGGAACTTCCTATAACATAAAAAATCTTGTCAATATTTTCAGTATAATTAAAGGCGAACATTAGTATAGCTAATATAGTATAGGCTATACTATATTAATATATAGTAAGGAAATAATTTTTCATATTTTATTCAACTTTTTTTGTATTGAAATAACTTCAAGTTGGGAATATTTAAACGATTAGTGTTATTTTATTTTATATATACTTTTGTATAAGATAAAGCAGGGTAAGCATCAAAAAGTTTTTTTGGAAAATCATGAAATTATTATATATTCTCATTAAATGATATTGACAGCTCTAAAAAATCTTTAAAGGTAGTTACTTTAGAGATATTATACTTAAATATTATGTTTTATATGATTTACAGAGTTTAGTTGCATAATATGTATAAAACTAACAAATTTAGAAAATATTAGGGAGAAAATATATTTATACATAAAAGATACATTTTAGGTATTATCATGAATTTTGTTTTAACTTGCCAGATATTGAGTAAAGAAGACCAGGAGAAGACCCTAGTCGATAATTTGTTCCATGTCGCATTTTAATTGCTTCAGTTGCGTGTCTAGCTACATACATTAAATCGTCATAATCTTCTATACGTTTTCTTGAATGACTCCATGGTACTAACCACATTTGGGAGTAAGAATGTAAACTAATATACACCTAGAATTATTGTCTACATAAATAATTTAGTTAAAAAATTAATATATTTATTATTCGCGTATTTTAATTGTTTTTGAATAAGTACCTGAAATCTATCTTTATGATCTAATATGAAGTCAGAAACTGCTCTTGTTTCAGGTTCGGAAAAAGCATGGGTTCCAGCAAAAGTGTCCTGACAAGGATCTTCGCTTGCACCTACTTCAGCCCAATGCCAATCCCAATTTCTATTAAGATCTACTCCTTCACATCCTTCAGATAATCCCCATATTGTTCTTGTTTGGAATAATAAAAATAATTAGAACTGTTATAATTGTGTTACATTTTTATGTAAAGTAATCATACAAAAAACCTGTCTAAAATTAACCCTAGATAAACAAAAACCTGTTCCAAGTGGAAAATATTTTATATTTTTTTTAACATTCTAGGCATACACATCTTATTTAACAGTTTTTAAAGGAGATTAAAACGTAAACCTGTCTTAAACACAAATTTTCTTTAATCCTGCGAGATTAATTTTTTAGGCAGGTTTAAGAAACTAGAATTTTGTTATTGTTTACCTAGATAATTCAACTGGTATTCTTCTTGACTTTCTCCATAATCGATCTGTTGTATGAGTATATTCATAACCATCAGCATTAACAACTGGAAGAATATACCAGTCTATTTCTGTTATCATAGATTTATAAAATTTATTATCTTCTACTAGTTGCTTCAATATGTACAATGCCACAGCAGGCGAAATCCATTCTCTAGCGTGAATTCCTGTTGTTTTTCAAAGAAAAATAATCCAATTCTTAACTTATATTTTAATAAGTTATTTAATAGTCATTATAAACTATTATTATCATATATAAACATAGTACCTCCATCAATCCAAATAGCGGGTTTTTTCATTTTTTCTTTTAGTTGGCCAGACGATACTTTAACTACTTTAAGTGGACGCCCTTCTGCAGTTTCTCCGATTGGTAATATTTCGACCAAGTGAGGATAGTTTTCTGACAGATACATTAAATAATCGAGTATATCTAAAAATTAACCAAAATTATAGAAAAAATTTTCAACAAGTAGTAATTTATATAATTTAAATTTTAGATAAATTTAAACTCAGTAAATTAATTAAACTCATATTATTTATAAGTGTAATGTATTTAATTTAAGCAAACATAAGAAAAATCTTAAAATTTCTAATATTTTACTTTACAAAACTATTTTTATATTAATAAATAATGCTAAAATATTTAGTAATAAAGAATTTAATAGATACAATATGTTTCATAAAATTGCTTTATATTACATTGGTGTGTAGCTTTTAAAAAAGAATTACGATAATCGTATTAATTTGTTTTACCTTGATAGCGATGATATCTGTTCCATGTTAAAAAATGACCTTTAGTTGCTTTTAATTCCATTCTTTGATTGGGTAATGGTGATTTTGGATTCTGTGTACTTATGCTCCTCTGAAGAAAATAAAATTTGAAAAAAAAAATCATATTGAGCAAAAATTTAGATAAATTAACACTAAAGTATTATTGGAATTTCAACCGTTTAAGATATCAGTGCAATAATGTCGATTTTTTAAACTGTTCATGAGACATAAAAAACTACATAATTTTAATACTAAAATTTGTATATTACCCATGTTTATTTTTACAATATTAGTTTTTTTGTGTATAAAAAAATGATTCTCTACCAGAAAATATAAATAGTAAATTTGGAAAAGAAGTAGAGATAATTGTTTATTGCACTGGACCCTTCAATTAGTTGTAGTGTAGTTAAGTTCTTCCATATGGAGGATAGGTGTAGAGAAAAAAGGTCCTTTTAGCAAGTACGGACCTATTTTCTCTAAGTAAGGAAATAGGTCAATTGTTACAAACAACGAGAACAATAGAATTCCGTTTTCCTAATATAAAATTTCTTAAAATTAATTATTTAAAATTCAATATTTTTAACAAAATTTTGTAACTTTATTTTTAAATTATGTGGAAAAAAGTTGATTAATTTGTTTTAAGATAAGCATAGGTGCATACCTCTAAATCATTAGATATCACTTCATAATCTATTTCTCTTTGAGATAAAAATCGTTTGACGTCTCTAGCTAAACTCGGAGGTAAAACTAAATCCACTGTTTGGTTAATCCGTATAGGCGTCCAAACTTGCACACCTGGTTCTTCAGCCACAGATTCGATCTCAAGAACGGCATCATCATCAATCGGCTTTACTTTTATTAATTGATATCTTTTATAAGATACTTTATTAGATGATGTAACTGATTCTCGCTTCATTATATTTCCTGAAAAAGTAAACTATTTTCAATGTTTCCAACATTAAAACAATAATGCGTTGTTTTATAAAAATGACTTATTTGTTTTCATACAATTAATTAATATTTTTATTTTACCTTCCAATGTACAATTTTTTCTTTTAAATCAACAGTTTAGTAATTATTTAACGATGAAAACTTTATGAAAATTATATATAATTATTTTGGTTACAAATTAAAATAATTGCCGTATTATTATATACAACCCCTCAAAAAATGTATGTATTTAATAACTTATTTATTAACATTAATTACCAATAAAGTGTAATACTAATAAAACGTATAAATTATATCTATTTAAAAATTTGTTTTAATTTTACACATGTGGTATAATGCATGCCGTAGAATTAAGCTTATAATTTATCTACAAAACACCTAAAAGTAGAAGTATTAAAATACTTCTACTTAATAATTAATAATTATTGCTTGAAACTTGGGTTTTTGTTCTTTATATCTCTAATCGTGTTCATAATTATAATAAAGTAATTTAACCTATAAAGTTGACGAGGAAATCATATTGAATTTATATCAAGTATTTTGTATTATCACAAAAAAAAAAATTAGATTTTTTCTATTATATTATGAAAATTTAAACTTATTATGTATTTTCGAATAGTAATAACCATCCTTTCAATTTAATCAAACGAACTATAAATAAAATTTAAAAAAAGTAACCATGAGATGTATTACAGTATGTTTATTCAATTCAACTGCCCATTTTAGCATAACGAAAATCCGGTGGGCTGTTTATTGTGTTTTATTTTTTAATAAATACATAATAATACATAAATAATATTTCCATAAAAACTAATGAATGAACAAGAATTTAGTTTTTTTGCAAATAAAAACTATATTTTTATTAATAAGGAAACGAAATCTAATTTTATTTCAAACTATTTTAAGAATAGTAAAATCTGAATAAAAATATCTTATAATTATAAAATTAAAAATTTTTTCAATAATTTCCTTAATCAATGTACGAAAAAAAACTTTCAATACGTTTATTATTTTGTAGAATAAAATAACCAGTAACTAAAATATTATTGATATTTCTATAAATATCTCTAAATATTTGAATAGCATTTTCTTATTAAAAATTTTTATTAGAAACTTAAACTTAATGCATAATAAAAAACTTGCTAGAGAAATCGTGTTTAGGTCATCTTTCCTTATTTTACATATTATAATAACGTAGCTGTCGAGAAATCATAAATTGTGTAGGTGTTTTTGACATTATGAAGTTATCATAGTTACTTTAAGTCGTAAATAGATTAATATTATGTTGAGTTATGTAAATTTATAAGATTTTTTATTTTTTAACAGTATGTAATGTGTTATGTATAAAAGATTAGTAAAGTACACTATTAAAAGTTGTATTTTAGAAAAAAATACAAGTTTATAAGAAATGATACATTAAGTAATTAACCTACATTATATTGTCAACTTAACACTAAATTTATCTCATTTATTTAAAAATATTGTCCTTTAACTATTTCATTTTTTTTATATTAATATAAAGTTAAAAATATATTTTTAATATATTCTTATCATTTTTTCATTTTATTTTTAACCTTTAACGAGTAGTTTTTTTTTTATATAGCGTATTTTAATTAAGTTTTTCAAATTAGAATTTTACATTATATAGGCGGAAAAAAATTATTTCAATATATGAAAACCCTTTGAATATAAAAGTCGCTATTACGTTAAGTGATACGATCATATTTACTTAGTAATGAAATTACTATCAATTACTTTTTTGATTTAATAATGTCGTCTAGAATGTCTAATTAGACAAACTAGGTATGTATAATATTTTTATTCTGGAATATTAATGATTCCTATAGCACTAAGTCGTAGAGATTAATGTAGGTTGAAATAAAAACAAATTAAATACTTATTATTTATTTAATTAACTATTTATTAACTTAAAAATTTAACAACTAATTAAAGTACCTGTAAATGGCGCTATTATGGAGTCATAGATAAATTCTATATAACTGGTAATAATATTGAAAACTTGAAAAGCTTTAGATGAAAATGTGTTGTTAACTTCAATAGAAGAATCAGTTAATTTGTGAGCATTTGACACGTGTAACGACAAAAATAGAAACGCTACGATAATCAGTTTTATCATTGTTTATAAAAGTTTACATAAATTAAGCTTAGAAAATTAACTTAATAAAAAAAAAAATGGGCTCTCGGTCAATTAACTTTGAATATGACATTGTAGTTAAATACTACAGTCATGAGCTCATGAACTAACTGAATAGCGGCCGACGCTGAGCACTCTGGAACTTAAACTGAATATCAAAGAAAACGTAACCGGAGCGCCATCATTGGAGATATTTTAGCTTCTTAATTTTGTTAGTTCAATGAATTTACGTTCTTTTATTGAATACGTGTATTTGAGATTGTTGTATTTTAGAACACATCTAAAAGTAAGAAGAAATTAATAAAAATTAATGCTATTCTTAAAATTTTTAGATCAATCAAGAATAGTGGCGTACGCAAGATATTTCAATGGAAAGCATATCAAACAAATTTCAATAACCATTTCCTAAAAATGTTTTTACACCTAAAATGTTAGTTTAGCACAGCCTATGGGGGAGCTTAACCCTTTTAGCCCTTCTAGAAAGGCTACTGATTGAGAACATCAAATTAAATTGTGTAATTTAGGTTACGAAAAAATAAAGATCACTACTTAAAAATTATAGGGGAAATGAAGTTTTAAATTATTATTTCCTTTTAATTATTATTCAAAGTATTACTTTCTAATTGAGTTTTAGTTTGTACATATATATGTTACAATGTAAGTATATATAAAAATTATAAGTCAATTATTGTTATTGTTTATTTCATTAATTTGTTTTAATTTATTCTAAATATTAGCCTTTTTTCCACACGTAAGTACTACTCAAAAGTAAAAATCTTTTAACAAAAAAAGTGAATTTATTTTAATTTTAAAAGAATAACTTTCCTAGCGATCTCTTGTCCGATCTAAAAAAAATCCTTGGTAATATTACATTAGTGTAACCAATATTGAAAAAATCTAGATAACAGTTTAGATTTTTTATATAAATAACAAACATCTAGACATTTTGTTAGTCTACGAGATGTTCAGTAGTACTTCATATTTACTGATCTTTTCTGAAAATATTTTTATCATATTTCGTATACTTTTACATAGCACATTATGATGACTCCCTGAACACCAGATGTCTTATAGTAATAGACTTTTATAATATTTATAAATATACTTTGTATAATTTTAATTAATATTCCTGTCATTTTTAGAAAAAGCGATAAGCAAAAATATATCAAAGCTTATTTGTATGCATACTGATTCAATAAAAGCAGACTGATTATATTTATGATAATTATACATAAAAGAGTTAGTTATAAAAAAACAACGGATTTATATGCATTTAAAAAATGCCAAAAATTGAACAATAAACTGTAAAATATACATTAAAGAGTATTTTATAAATTTATTCTTCTTAAAAAAAAATTATATTATACTATCAATTCTCTTTAAAACTTAAGTTATTGCATACAAATTGTATGAATAAACTTAAATATAATTATAGACTATATTTAATATAGTTTATAATATTTCTGTAATATAGTCTTTATTTCACATAAGCACGAAGTGATCTCGTCCTCTGTCACATTGGTTAAAGATAAACTCAAAAAACCTCCTTGGTTTATATTACAAATTAAAAAAAGTTTTTAAAAGTTTTGTCAAATTTGGTTTTAAAGACTTCTGAAATATTTTAATTAATGTATTACTTGAAAATTTGAGTTAAACTCTAATAGGCCTATTAAATTTTTTCTTTTAACCCCTTAACCTCCAAAAAATAATAAAACGTGTGAATATAAATTCAAGAGTCTTCAAAAATACCATATTGATGTTTTAAACGAATTTGTCATTTCTCCTCTTTTTCTTTATTTTCCTCACCTTATTCCCAACTACTTGGGGTCGACCACCAAAATCCTAAACTTCCACTTGACAAGATCTCTCACATCATCTACGCTCACATCAGCGGTCCTCATTTCACATTTAATTACATCCCTCCATCTCTTTTTTTACCTATTTTTCCTTCAACATTCGTTTCAGAAGCGACTAATGAGGTTGTATGAGGTCGACAACCAGCGTAAAATTTTTACCGAAATAAAATTGTCAATTAATATTTTAATTTTCATGAAAATTTATTTTATAAAAATGTTTACGAATATTTAAAAAAAAATTAGTTGGATTTTAATTTTTGAAAATATATTGTTTTTCTTGTATTATTTATTTATTTTTTACTAAAGATTCAATGTGAGAGAGAGCATAGGCTTCCCATTTTTACAACAGACATCCACTAATTATGAAAATTTCATTTTTTATATTGCTTAAAAACAAGATATTGATATAAAATATTGTAATAAACAAAATAAAAATACCACAAATAATTAAAAATATATTTAATTATATTAAAAATCATTTTTCAGTCTTTTGTATCCTATTTTTTTTTTTCAAATTACATTGTATAAATTTGATTTTGGATTCCTATACTACTTCTTATACTCAACCCAACTTAACAATTATATGAAAATGTTAATAACTTTCAAAATACCAATTCAAAAGTTTTGAAGAATTTTTTAACCTATTAGCAAGATTATTTTAAACTAATTAAACAACATGTTTCATTTAAAAAAATTTAAGTTAATAAAATTCTAAATTGATAGGAAGGGTATGAATTTTTTTTTTTAAAAACTTCTTCTGAAAGTTTTTCCAACATCTGAAAAAAAATGTATAATGTTTAGAATAAAATAGGATAAGGTGGGGTAAATTACCAGATTAAGCTTTTAAGATTTTTTATGAATTCTGAGAATATATTTAGAATCTAAAAATAGCATTAATATTTCTTCAATATCATGTTTTTTTTCACCATCGGCATTACTTTAACTACAATTAATGCGCGCGGATATAAAGTAATCTAGTGAATAGCAAAATGTACCACAATCGGGTTATGTGTTCGTAAGTATGTGTTGCTATGTATGATTTTGAGAAAAATTGAATTCATCATACGATTTCCAAATTTGTTAATTTTCCCATCCTTATATTAATCTATTTTAACAAATGAACATTTATTGAAATTTAAATTTCAAAATATGTCCGATAACTGATAATTATTAATTATCAAAATCGCAATTTATATCAGTTATTATTATACATTATTAGTTAATATCACGATTATTAAATAATTCTCGATTCATTTTCTTAAAATTTTAACAAGCGGAAAAAATGTTAAAATGAAAAATTTCAAAGTTCCATCACTATTCAAACATATAAAAAATTATCTTTTTTTTTTTCGAAGTAAATATATGTTTATGAACAAATTTGTTTACATTGAAATAAGTTATTTTGCTATTTGATAGTTGAAGACCTGTACCAATGTATAAACACATATATTATATACCTTTCTGAAATAATATTCATGAAATGCTAACACAATCATTAACAGTTAAAATATGAAAAATATACAATACATACATTTTTGTTTTGTGAACTTCCTTGTTCAACTTATCTATAATATTTTTTTTATTCTACTTGTTTATAATTACGTTTTATAAATAAAATATTGATAAAAAGGGTTTCTAAATAAAAAGCGTTTTTTGTCTAATATTATTAGATGTATAATATTTTATTATTAATTATAAATAGATAAAAATAAGGTTGGGTACATAATTTAAAGTGTAGCAAGAAAACATTATTTTGATCTTTGAAAATGCAGGATCTTCAAGTTCGTAAAACTATTTACACCAATTTTATCCAAATTAGTTTTCTTTTTCTTCTTCCTCGCATTAATCCCAACTCCTTGGGGTCGGCCACCCTTATCCTAAACTTCGACTAATACGATCTCCCACATCATCTACGAACACATCAGCAGTTCTCATATCGCACTTAATAACATTCCTCTATCTGTTTTTTGATCTTCCTCTACCTCTTCTTCCTTCAACATTCATTGCTATAACTGTTCTTACGGTTTCCGATTCTTCTCTCCTCATAATATGACCAAACCATCTAAGTCTATTTTCCCTCATCTTATCCACGATTGACGCTACACCTATACTCCCTCTAATATGCTCATTTCTTATCTTCTCTAGTCACTCCACTTATCCATCTAAGCATTCTCATCTCTGCTACACTCATTTTCTGCTTTACTTTTTTATCAACTGCACAACACTCTGAACCATACATAATAGCTGATCTCACTACAGTTTTGTAGAATTTACCTTTAAGTCTCATTGGAATTCTTTTATCACATAAGACACAAGACGCTTCTTTCCACTTCAACCACCCGCACTTAATCTTGTGTCTTACATCCTCGTCAATATAACCGTTCTTTTGTACAACTGATCCTAAAAACTTAATACTTTCCACCTCTCCAAGCACGTCCTCGCCTATTGTCACTGACGTCCTTATTTCACCTACATGGTGTTCTCCTTTGTTAAATTCATACTGTATATACTCTGTCTTACTTCTACTTATAATTAAGCCCTTTTCTTCAAGAGCTGATCTCCACACCTCTAGCTTTTGATTAATTTCCTCCCTATTTTCTCCTATTAACACTATATCGTCAGCAAACAACATGCACCTTTCCTTGTATTTTTCTAGTAATTTCATCCATCACTATAGAAAATTAGTAAGGGCTTAGAGCAGAACCTTGGTGCACTACTACTTTTACCCTAAAACTTTCTGTTACTCCTTCTACTATTTTTCCCCTGGTACAAGTACCATCATATCTTCTATTATATTAATATACCTTTTTGGGGCTCCTTTTCTCATTAATGACCATTTTAACACCTCTCTCGGTACACTTTCATTCGTTTTTTTTAAATTTATTAATACTATACACAGCTTTTTTTTCTTTTCCCTAAACTTTTCTATTAGTGGTCTCACACAAAATAATGGCTCCATTGTTGACTTACCAGGAATAAATCCAAATTATTTCCAAATTAGTTGATAAAAATATTTTTAATTCGCTCCGTTAAATAAAGTTGATCTAAAGACTCTCCCGAATCAACATTAAATACAGTTTTTATAAATAACTTTTTTATCTTTATATTTTTAGGTATATTTCTTATATCCAACAAGAGGTCTTTTTTTTATAATTCTAATCCTCTATATTCATTCATGTACTGTGGTGTTGTAATGTTAATTAAGAATTTAGATTTTAAAGTTATCTTAATAGTTTTTATCAAAATGTAATTAAAAAAACAATATTAATGAAATGAACGTCAAATATATTTTCTAGATTAATAACTATTTTTATGAAAGTCAAATTTTTACATAGTGATTTTTAATCAATTCTTTCTAAGGATTAAATATTATCTTCAAAAAACAGTTCAAACTAATTTTTCCTTTAATTTTCAGTAATGGATATTTATTCTCACCGTTACTTTATAAAACAGTTACCTTAGTAAAGTTATATTAATTTAATATTAAAATTATTTTTATGTTATGGTTCAGAAGATATTATTATGCATTTATTAATTTTTAATACAGTAAGATAATATGTTACTTATATAATGTAAATAAATTATCTGAAAATTCATAAGAAAAATACATCTGGTGGTTTTGTATACAGCTATTTAATATTCATTAAAGAGTATAAAACATATTAAACTCTAATTAATTAAACAAATAATATATCTTTTTAACGGTTTGGTGATTTTTATTTTAATTTACTAACATTATAGATATATTATAGGATAATTTTCACCATTGAGATACCGTAATTTTTGTTTTAAAAATGTCAATTGCGTTAGATTGTAAGTTTTAACCTTTAATCATCAGGCGTGGATGACTTGACATTAATTTTAAATGACCTATTAATAAGTGCGTATAACTATAATAGCATTAATAATATTTTGCAGGTTGATTACCATTGAAAAAATCGTTAATTTAATGTTGATGTTAAAAGTGAACAAGTAATGATAAGATGTTTTGCTAAATAATTGTATAATTGTAAAGCTAATTTTTTTTTTACTTGGGTATACAATTATACTTCAATTACAGTGAATGTTTGAAATAAGTACAAAGAGTTCACGGAACCAAATCGATTACAATGACTATGCAACATACCGTTGGATGATAGATTTTCATTTATTTCCTCAGTTATTACAAACGTAGCTTTCTTAATAGTTATTATCATTGTATAGTATCATTATATATATATATATATATACAGTGGAACAAATCTAACTGATAATTGTTATAACTATTAATATAAAAGTTGATTTTTTTTTATAAAATTCATTCAAAAATTATTTGTAAATATTATTAAAAACAAATATTAAAAATATAACTTTAACGTTGACTAAGAATCCATAAATTATTAAAAAAATAATTATAAAGAAATGTCAATTGTATCAAAAATTAGAGGTTTATAAATTAATTTTCGTTATCTCTAATATTAATTTGAAGTTAAAACTACGGCATTTTAATTGTATACACATTATTTAATTGTATCAGTAACAAATAATAGGCATCTTATTGATTATTATAAAATCGGTAAAAGTTGTTCTCTTGAATTACCCCTCAAATAAAATTTCACTATGTGAATTAGACATTGCTATAAATTATTTTTATTAGCGTGATTTTTTTACAGGGAAGGGTACGTGTTTAAGACATTATTTTATTATAATTATAAATAAGAGGGTTATTTTATTTAAATAGTTTTTATTAAGAGTATTATTTCAACATTAAAATGATTATTATTTATTTATTGAAACTTTTCAATGAAATATTTTGGGTGTATTGCTATGAAATCTATTTATTGTAAAATTTAAAAAAATCTATGTTTAAGATATCACTTAACACAATAAATTTTAATTTCTTTTATAGCGATTAATGATATAGTGTATTGTATTTTCTATCACATTATTTGGATACTAATAGATATATTTATACAAGTTATTTGAAATAATGTTGAAAAACAATACAATTTTTTATAAAAATATTGTATTATTTAATGATATAAATATTAGTATAGTTAAATGTTAAATCAATTACTTATATTACAAATAGAGAATATTAATAAAATATTTTATCGTTATTAATATTTTATTGGAAGTACTAGATTGCTTTTATAAAGATTTATATAAACGTAGTTTCATCTAAAATCATGAGTTCATCAAATAAAAGCATTATGACGTTCATTAACTCGGTATTTACAATTAATTTNATTATGACGTTCATTAACTCGGTATTTACAAATAATTTATTTTATTCTAAAATAATGATCTGAAGTATAATTACATACCCTTACTTTATAAAACATATTTATGGTGGTCAGTCTGTAGAAAACATGAAACGAAAAGTAAAACTACTTATAAATTAAAACAGGTCAAACTGACATCTTCGATTATATCCAGTAATCAATCCATTGAACACATTGAAATAAATTCCGTTAAATAAAAATGAATAATTCTAAGTCACACCTACTACGTGCATTATAGCACTTATAAATTGAAAAAGGTTAGTTTTCTGAATCTTTTACTAGTCTAACAGGTCAACATACTTGAAAATAGTCCATGTTTGTTGAGCATACTGTCACGTACACCATAATGAAATGTGTCTTTGTATAAAATGTGTCGTGATAAACGGTAATATACAAAATGTACATTGTAAATGGAGAACTTTTTTTGTACTGAGACCCGATTATTCTTTATTATGTTATTAATAAAAATACAATTTCTGAAATTTTCATTTTAATTTGATACCACCGGGTATGCACTTAGGATTTTATTTTGAAGTGGTATAAACAAAATACTTGAATCTAAAACATATTGCTACTGATCGTTTCGCTGCCGACCTATTTTGCCACCGGACACTTGATATATAAATTTATTATTAACTCCTTTTCGAAAAATTCTAATTATTTAAGCCTAATACTTCATTGACAAGCCTTAAAAATCCAGTATAATTATCTCTATAATGTCTCATATTATAACTAAGCTCATCCGGATAAATATATGCAGAATCGTATTCAGGGCATGACAAGACGCATGTCATGATCGCGATTTCAGGAAGAACATCAATTTTAGAATTTTCTTCTATAAAAGCTAAAAAGTATTGTTATAAAATTTATAATAATCCTTTTGTTACATATGTGTATTTTAACATTCACAAAATAAACGATAATTAACAATTTTTATTGCTAAATTAAAGCTTTCTTAAAGGGGGGTGAACTCCGGACAATTTTCCAGAGTGTAACTTAACTTAAATACAATTTTGAATGTATGAATAATGCATCAAATTTCATTATAAAATTTAATCGAATAAACGTTATGCCGCACTAAAATATTTTTATTTTTATTTAAAAATAAAACTTTCTCGGCATTAATAATTTTTAGCTAAAATATTAAAAAAGAACCATTTTAATTTAAAAGTTTTTTTGCAAAAAATCTCATCATATTGTTTAGATTTAAGTTTAATTAATATTAAAAGGAGCAACAGATAAAAAAATAATTAAAAACAAAATTAGATTTGATTATGAAATTTTTAGACACTGTGAAACACGAGTATATTTTAACTTTTGCAACAGCCGTTTTTGCAATGTTATACAGACTAATCCGTTTATCATAATCGGTTTATAATAAACCATTCATTTATTCTTAAAATTAATACACTATCAAAAGAAAAGTTTGTTTTTCTTTTTAATTACACATGTATGTTTCTTAAATTATCAGCTGTTAAGAACATTTTTGTTTTATTCCTTATAACATATTGGGATGTCAACTTTTAATTTTTAAATGACGTATACATATTTAATTAGTTAATAAAATAGGAAATTAATTAATTATGAAAATACCGGTCAATGACAAATTTTGGACCAATATTTCAGATATTATAAATATATTTATGTCTATGCAGGGGGGAAGGAGTGTGGTCAAAAAATATATAATGATAAAAATGGCAGAACCATGCCCCACATTCAATCATTAATTAAAATTGTCGATAACTTTTGAAATACTAATATGAGACTGATGCATTACTCATACATTCAAGGCTGTATTTAAGTTAAGTTACGCTCCTGAAAAATTGTTCGAAGTTCACCCCCCTTTAAGAAAGCTTTATTTTAGTAAGAAAAATGGATAGTTATGTTTATTTTATAAATGTTAACGTATGCATATGTAACAAAAGTATTGTTATAAATTTTATAACAGTACTTTTTAGCTTTTATATAAGAAAATTCTAAAATTGACGTTCCTCTTGAAATCATGGCATGCCTCTTCTCGTGTCCTAACTACGATTCTATATATATTTATCCGCATGAGCGTAGATTAAAAAATTTGTCTGTGGTGCTATGGTCCCATGATCTATTTCATTGGACTGGATAATTGGCCCCTGGGTTTATTTTTATCATATCAAATTGTCTCTTCCTTTTCCAACCTTAAAAAACAAAATTTATTTGTCTTAGAGCTTTAGCTCCCACAGATCCCTACAAATTCTGCAAATTTTAGTTTATAAAATTTTAACTTTGTATAGTAAGAAAAATAGGTTATCATAATCTAAATTATGAATTAATTATATTTTCTACTAGAAATTATATATTAGGAGCCTTTTTAGGCGATTAAAAACATCTAAGTTATACCGCTTAAACATAACAAGGGACATTACAAATGAGTGTAAATTTTTTGAAATGAGAAAAATTCAAGTAATTTTCTGTATAACGATTTTTCTAAGGATTGTTGCAAGGTGGATAAATCAAACTTTGATTCTTTGTATCATTATCAGTTTTTTGATAATATTTTATGATAATGAATAACATGATATTAGTGCCTACCATAGTCTTATCCGCGATAAATGTAATTTTTGTTAGGTTATGTTTATTATTTTAAAAGCATGTTATGATTTGATAAAAAAATTCAAAACTTCAGTACTTTGTTTATCCATAAACAAGGAATTATTAAATCTTAATTTAATTGGTTATGCTATAAATACTTTCTGTGTGCTTAATTATTTTTTTTCATCATGACTCTTTTGAATTAATTTTTAACAAAACCAGTAACAATTCTAAACGCTTTTATTATGACGTCGTTTAAAAAATCTTTTGTGAAACCGTTTGCTCACACTACCGAACAATACACTGTTGAAGATTCATATTGGAAAAAATTAACTGTAAGTTTTTGTTATATTTATTTGTAGAATAAAATTTCTATCAAATTTTTACTAATTACAGAGTCCAGTTTTAGTTAAGGAGTTTGGTCCAATTGATTATGTCCATTTTTCTCAGAAACTGCCCTATCACTTTGCCGTGTCATGCTCAGCAAGAGTTAGTAGTTATTATTATTTTATTTATGCAATAAATAAATAAATGCTAACTGTATGCATGTTCACTAATTTTAAGGTTCAAGTTTATAATCCTGTAACTAAAGTTGTTACTAAAAATATAAACAAATTCAAAGAAGCAGCTTATGGTGCTTCATTTAGAGCAGATGGACAATTATTGTGTGCAGGAGGTGAAGAATCAATTGTTAGACTCTTTGAAGTGAATACTAAATCTATGCTTAGACAATTTAAAGGCCATAAAGCGTTAGTCACTTTTTAATTATGTATTATAATTACTATAAAATATTAATCTATATTTATTTTTATATATAGCGCTGTTCATCGAACTTTTTTTACTAGAGATGGGTTACATATTGCTAGTTTTTCTGATGACAAAAATGTTTCTCTGTGGGATATTGCTAGTCAGCACATAAGTGGACACTATGAAGGCTATCATACAGTAATATAAACATTTTAAAACTCTGACTATTAACTGAAGTTTTCATTGTTTTTCAGGATTATATTAGAGCTGGTTGTGTTTCCCCAGTTTCATCTAATATAGTTGTATCTGGTGGTTATGACAAAAATATAAATGTGTTTGATTCAAGAACTAAATCTGTGTCAATGTCTGTTAATCATGAAGCACCCGTTGAAAGTTTAATGTTTTTACCTTCTGGCAGTTTACTTATATCTGCAGGTTATAATTTGATTCAGCTAATTAAATTGAATTTTTTAAAAAAAAAATTTATTATTGTAGCAGGACTGAAAATGAGTTACCTAAGTCACTTTTTTCATAAAAAGTTACTTTAAGTATAAAAATTTGCTTAAATTAAATGATTGCCGGTTAAATTGTTTTTAATCGATTTTAAACTTATTTAAAAAATATGTAGGTGTTAATTTCTGGAATTCAATATATATGTTACTAATATCATATTCTAAACTGTTATAATTTATCGGCATAGATAATAGATCATAAAGCAAGATCATAGATGCTAATAGTTTTAATCATAAATATATGCAAAAGATAAATTATCATTGAATCAAATATTTGGCTTGTATCACTTTGTTTACCTGACTAGAAAATTACTTTTTTTTTTTGTTCATAATTTCTATTATTTTTGACAAATTTAATTATTTGATGTGTCAATATTATAAACCCCTAAATTTTTTTTGTCATAATAGTGTAATCCCCCTGATTAATTAACTCGAGTTATTCTAGTAACTAAATATTTTACTAATTATTCATTGTTAATGTATTTATTATAAATGTGTTGTGTAACTGTTTATTTTACAATAACACATTTTATAATAAAAACACTTTTCTTAAACAAATTAATGAAATATTTAATAATTTAAAAAAAAAAAATTTAATTGTTAATAATTATGATCGTGGCTATTTCTCAGTATTTAATCAACTAACAGTCCAACAGTTTGGTGTTAAACACAATTATCCCCAACACTGTGCTATAAAACAACAGCACAATAGACTAGTCTGTTCCTGCCAAACACTCAAATATTTACTAAGAAAAAAATTGATAATATTCGAACATTATTATATTGTTTTGTCTTAAAGATGTAGTTTGTCAAGCTACATTAATTTTAATTATTATAAAATTAGTATCTAAAATATATTCAACAAAAACATTATATCTATTATAAATACATATTATTTATATCATGTAAAAAAAAACTCAAGATTAATGATTATATAAATCAAATTTATTCCATATGTCAAACTACATTGTTACTTATTTTAGTCCGTTTTTCTTATATTATTTTTTTTTCTATTTAAACTTTTTCTAAAAGTTTAGTCTTTTCAGTTACTTTTTTCAAGAGTGACTGTTGGATTTATTTAATTATTTTATAATTATTCTAATTTAAAATTTCAGGTGGAACAGAAGTCCGAATATGGGATGTTTTAGCTGGTAAACTATTAGCTAAACTCACACAAAATCATAAGACTGTAACTGCTTTGTGCATGGCTAAGAATGGTTCAGCAATTGTTACTGCATCATTAGACAAGCATGTTAAAATTTATAATGTTTCATCTTTCCAATTATCACATGATATAACATACCCAAGTCCAGTACTTAGTATAGACATAAGCGTAAGTAAAAATAAATTAAGATATTTCATAATGAAATAAGTAACTATAATATAAATATGTATTACAACATATACTATTTCATTAAATACAGCTATTTTGATAAAAAAATTGTTTTATAAAGTAATTATTTATTATTTTAAGCTAATTTTTAGATAAATATAGTATTATATATGCCATAAATAACTTTTTTTTTTTAATGAAACTAATAAGTTTTTCATATGTTATAGAGAGATGATAAAACAATTGTAGCAGGTACTGTAGATGGAATAGTTAATATCACTAAACGTGATACAACATTAAAACATAATTCAGAAAATAAGAAACGTTTGGCTAGATCTGAAGCTATTGTTCATTCTGATGGTATTAATATGACTGTACCTGTTATGCAGCCTGACCAAATGGCCAAGTTTGACATAGCACTAAGAAAATTTAATTATTCTCAGGCTTTAGATTTAGTTTTAATTCATGCTATTGCTTTTAAGAAACCTCATGTTACAGTTTTTGTTTTTGATGAACTGTGCAGGTCAGTAATATGAAAATAAAAATTTTATACTTGATAAACTTAATTTAAACCTAAATGTTGTAGCTTAGATGCGAAGTTGAAAAGGTATTAATTTTACTATAATGTGATTTTTTTGTTTGTTGTCACTTTTTCTCAGCTCTTGGTGAACCGATTTCGCTCAACGATAGTCAAAAGATCACCAATCGTATCTAGTTGAAGACACTGCCCTTAAAAATTGAAAAATTTTCCTCATTCCCTATAAATTGCGCAAATACCCCAAAAAATTACGATTTTTATATTGGTAAATTTTGACATTTCTCTCACTATTTTTTCTTATAACTGCTATAAATTTTTGAAAAATGAATGAATTAACACAACTTTTTTTTATATTGACACCTTAAGTCATTCCCTTTTATTTAATATAATATTTTTGAAAATCTGACCCTTTACCTGCCCACAAGAGAGGGAATATAAAATAGCAACTTTTTTACAAAACTCAATTTTTTCAATGGCCGTAGTTAAAAAATGCTATTTTTGTGTTAACATTTTCAACTTAAAATTGCTATAACTTTTTGAAAAATGTATAGAACAACACAAATTTATTTTTTCTAAATACATTAAATATACCCCTTTCATTCAAAATACTTTTTTTTTTTAATCGGTTTTTCCCCTTATACAATGGGCATTTAAAACATGAAAGATATGTATAAAAAGAAGAACGTTTTCAACTTAATTTGTGAAAATGTTTTGTAAATACTGCGTCCTTCAAACATATGTTAAATTAAACCTTATATTATGTACTCTAAGTTAAATAACAAAAATTTGTCCTAACGATCTATGTTGTATGTGCAAATGACCATCTAAATAGAACAAAAAAATGTAATTTTCGTGTAAAAAATCAATATTATGTTGGTACTTAACTACCATAACTTTTTCAAAAATTAACAAATTAAAATAATTTTATTTTTAAATAGAAATCTCAGGTATTTTGCTTTTATTTGATATAATTTTCTTGAAAATTTGACCTTTTACTGGCTCACAAGAGGGGATTCAAAATAACAAGTTTTTTACTTGTTTTTACTCAAATTAACTTTTGAAAATGTTCCTGAAATACTGCATCCTTCAAACATATCAAATTAAAGCTTATGTTATATAATTTAAATAAAAAAAAAATTTGACCCGAAGACTTATCTTCTACTTGCAAACGGCTGCCGTGGTAGTTAAAAAATATGCTATTTTTGTGTTTAAATTTTATTTTGGTTGTTTATTTTAAAATATATTATAAGATTTTGCCATAGTAATGAGTCCACCAATAAATATAAAATTTACATGAATCTAACTTATATTAAGTATAAATTTATAAATTTATTTTGATTATTTTGCCTCTTCAAAGTTAAGAAAAGTTTTTGAATTTTTGAAAATTTGTATAGAAAGTAGTACTTTTTCAACATAGTTTTTGAAAATGTGTTCGGAAATATTGCGTCTTTTAAATATATGTTAAAATAAAACTTATTTTATGTACTAAAAATCAAAAAAAAAAAAATTTGTACTGACGACCTATTTTCTATGTGCAAATGGCAGTCGAAGTAGAACAAAAAATAGGAGATAATTTTGCTTAAGATATAACTTATGGAACAATATTTCTGTTATGTTTAGTAAAAATAAATATAATGTTCCAAGACTGATAAAAGTATACATTTATGTAATATGTAAAGAAATATCTAATATGCAATTTAACAGCAAAAACTAATTGTGATAATTTAAAAGAAATAAAAATTTTTGAAAGAAAAAAAATGATTTTTATTGTTCAAAGAGGAAGATACTTTAATTGGTTTTTAAAAATTGAAATTTTTTGTTGCAAATGTTATGAATAAATATTGAATAGTTCATAAAATTAATTTGATATTTTTATTGTTATTACTTTTGTAGGAGAAATGGATTGGTTCAAGCAATATCTAATAGAAATCAAAAACAATTAGCGTTTTTATTGAACTTTATTGTTCGATATATTGGTGTCCGAAAGTTATCAAAGACACTAACTCATGTTGCTTCAACTATTATTGGTAATTTGTAAAATCTAAATTCAATATGTATTATAATGATTTTGTACAGTAAAAAATTAAATTTTATAATAAAAATTAATTACTTGTGGCTAATATTATTTAAAATTAAAACTATATTAACATATTAATTTAAAACTAAAAAAATATTAAAGATATTCAACTCAAAAAATTACTTACAAATCACAGATGTATTCTAAGAGCAATGTTTCCATTATTGACATTAAACACATACTGACTAAAAAAAAATATTTACATTATATTTCATTTTATGTATTCTATTGATATACAGAATCTTTTATTAGGTCTTTATTATGAACTACTTGATATCTCCCAAAATAATTATATTATTAAATTTTTTTAGTTACATATAAATCTTGATTAATAAGTTATTAAGTATTTTTTGCATCTTTATCTTATGCTTTATAAGGGAATTAAAATTAATGACCAATAACAACTTTTAGACATTTTTTTTAGAAGTTATAAATAATTTTATAACTGATCGAGAGAAATAAGGTGGCTGAAAATACCTACTGATAAGAATAGTTAATTCGTTTCACACCACCTGTTTTTACATTAAAGTGTTAATAACTTCTGAAATAGTTTTCCTGAAATTGTGTATTGATCACTTAACATACGTAAGCTTGATAAATATACACATTTCCATTTCAAAATATAAAGTTCAATCCCTTTTAGAGCATTACAATTGGACATAAAAACACTTAATGACTCATAAATTTAGTTTTAAATGTTATCAAATAATGTAAATAAAATGTTTTATAATATATTTATTTTGGGAGAAATTGAGTTATCAACAATAATTCTATTATACTATATAGAGTATTCAGTAAGTAAGGAAATAGGTTAATTGTTATAAAGAATGAGAAACCCATTTCCATACTTATTGAACACTCTATATATTAAAATTTGTTTTATTCTTACAGATTGTTATTGGGATATATTTGATAGTTGTACCTTCGAAGTACGTGCTTTATTGATTAAATTACATTCTGTTGTTGAGAATGAAATATTACTAACAAAAAGATTGCTGGCTATTGATGGATTAGTAAAGATGTTACTAATAAGTTCAGAAGTTGTACCAGATATTACAGAAACTCAAAAAAGTATGAAGTCAATATTAAAGAATTCATGAGAAATATGTGTTTAGTGTAATTTATTTTCCAATAATTTCAATGGCAATAAATAATGTTTATTATTTCTAAACTTCTAAAAAATTATTAAATAATCATCAATGACATAAAAGCATTATATAAAATTATTTTTGTTAAAAGTTAAATTGAAACTATATTTTCTTAATGTATTGACAGTATTTTTGTAGATTTTTTGTTTATGTTTTTAGTTAAATGTATCAATATTAATTTTGAAAATTAAATATGATTGTGAAACCTAGAAATGGTTCCATGTGACCCTTGAAACCTGTCATAACATTAATTTTTATTGAAAAATGTTATTTCATATTTAATTTAAATATAATTATTTAAATGATAATTCTAAAAAAAATTTTAAGGTAATCTTTTTTATGTAAATAATTAGTTTAAAATTAATTTCCTATTTTAAAATATTTTTAAGTTTTTTATTTGAGAAAAGCTTGAGAAGTGTTTAATTAATAATACTAGAAATATAATTTATAAGCAATAGATATTTGAATAGTCATAATATTAAGTGTATTAATACACTTATTAGTTAATCAGACCTACTTGTAAGTAATATTGAAATTTATCATTTTGTAGGGAAATATGAAATTTGTATTATTGTACAATATTTTTAAATAAAAATAAATGGAAATCTAGTGAAAGAAAAATAACATAATTAACTAGCAATTTATTAAATTTTTTTCAGTTTTTAAAATTAACAGTGATAAGAAATTCATTATTAGTTGGGATTCTTAATTAGAATTTTTTCCTATAAAGAAAGGTTCACATCATAATAATGTTGAAAATATTTTATTTTCATAATTAGTTTTTAACTAAAATATAGTTATGTATGTGAAATGGAGAGAAAATTTATCCTTCTAGCTTCTCCTAGTAACGTATCTGCCTACAATAGACAGAAAAGGTAGTTGGAAAATAGTCAAAAATTACTAATCATTGTCCAACTACAATGAGAATATTAGTGGAAGGAGTTTGGGCTCAGTAAACCCTTTCCTAGTAAATGTATTATTTGTGTAGGTATCTTTATGATACATAAATATTTGTATTAAGCTACAATACATTCTTTAATAAAAAAAACGATACAAAATAGTTTCATTACAAAATTTTTACAGTATATAAAATTATGTACAAATATAAAAAAAATGACTTTGGTAAAATTGACTTAATCATACATACTACTTAGTGAATTTATTTAATACATATAAATTTTTAGAGTGTGAATCAGTGTGATACATAATAAAATTACTACATAGGAACTATATTGTATTGATGAGACATTTTGATATTTATTTGATAGTGGTACACATGAACTGTCTGTAATATTTGATTCGTTGTAAGCCGTGAAATTAGGATACGTATAGGTATTCATCATCTATAACAAAAAAACAGATATATATATAAAACCATCAGTGTAGACTAATTCATAAGTTTTCATTTGATTACAAAATAGTATGACTTAGTAACCAATTAACCTAGATTGACTATCCATACAGCACTAGAAAGGTAAATTTGCCGAGTTCTTAAAAGTTTAAAAAACAAATTATTTTTTCTATCATATCGAGTTAAAAATAGCGGTTCCCATTTAAGAAAATTAAAGTTGAGGTTTTTATCGCTGAATATGTTATAAAGTTAATTATTTAGCTACATATCGTTGTAGTCATAGTAAAATGAATAAGAAGTATGCTCGATCACAGTCAGCATTTTCGTCGTAGTACGCGCAAGTGCATCGCCTTGTGTTTTTGTGCATTCGTATACGATCGTTGAAATACGACCGCTTCCGAATGCACTTTAAAACCGGGCGATTTTTAAATTGATAATTCTGATATAATATATATGATAGACATAATTTTTAAGTAATAATTATATTAATTACTTTAAAACAACGCATTCAATAATATTTTATAATAAATTTAATCGTATCCACGATTATTATTTTAGATTCTATGTATTTTTTTGTTGTAACTTTTGTATTTTAATGAAAAATTAGGATTTTGTACCTCGTTAATTAAACGTGAGCTATATTAACTAGTGTGCAGACTTATTTTTTTATGTTTTAACATTGAATTAACACCACATTAACTTAAGAAATCAATATTAAATATATTAGATTAGGTTAAGATGGTACATTTTTGGAAAACATAGCGCATAGCATTTTTTTTTCTAAAAAAATGAATGAGTATTAATTAATGTGAATTTTAAAAAACAATCAACATTATTTATAGAAATTATTTTACTTATTAAGTGAATGAGAGAGATAGCATAATATAATCTTGAAATATAGATTATGTTTATTTTATTTTTATAATATAAAAATTATATAATATAATATTTCAATATTTCTAGTACCTTTTCATTGTATATTTTTTTAGTGTGCTGCTAATAATAAATATAATCCATCAGATTTATTTGAGGACAGCCTAACATATTTAATGGGGATATGTAGCTTTTAAATTTGAATACAAATATCCGAATCTTGTAGATAATTTGAATGAACCTAATGATTGCATAGAGGTTAAATAATTTGGAACATTACGACAACCATCACCTACATTAATAAATTTAGGAAAAATCATAGGAACTATTTTTAAAAAATTAAATGAAAATGGTACTTATAGAAATACAGTTAATATAAAATATTTTTACATACCTATGATTAAATTTTTAATAGATGATATTAGAAAAACTCCAGGCTTAATAAAGGAGGTACTGGAATTAACTAAAAAAGCATGTAATTCAGATAATCTTTTGGTGGATGATGAAGTCAAAAACTTCATTATTAGAACAAAAATATATTTTAGAATACGGAATATAAATAAAAAAACTTGCATCACGAGAAATGAGCAATAAAAAAAAAATTCAAAAATTTATTAAATAATCATTAAAACTACATTTTTTATAAATAATATAACAACTTATACTTACTGTAAGTAATTACACAATAAATTGATATTTAATTATTTATATGCAGTTAAACATAGTAAAATTTTACTATGCAGTTAAAGTTTTTCTCAGGTTAGATTTATCAACGAATTAAATCTTGGTTTATAAACTACTACAGTGTAGCAGATAATACAATAAAGATGTATTACAACACAGTTGAAGTTAATAATAATAATAAAAAAATTATAAATGAAATTGAAAACCGAAATTAACTAAAAAAAGTTCATTAAAATACTTGACTATAACGGGACAGTGCCCCTTAATATAGAATATATACAACGCAATGTATTTACATGTGACGTCACGTTGAGTTTATTGTTGGTTACATATTTTACCCCTAGGCTTATCATGCGCACTAATTTGATCGAGCATACTTCTTATTCATTTTACTATGGTTGTAGTTTTTTGAACCAATATTTTTTTTTTACAAAAATGAAATATTTAATAGTTTCTGAGAAATTATTTTCTTATTTTGAATTGATCACTCTGTGTATTGTTTTACCCATTAGTCCTCAAGATTACAAAAAAAATTAATCCTATATATTCACTGCATTTTACTCGAGTACATACTCATATAACAATTTATTAAGTAAAAAATACATTTTTAGTTTTTTGACACTAAAATATTGCGTATACACAACGTTGGGATTAACTATGTAACTTTTAATTGTTGATGTTAAATTTCAGATGTAGAGTTCAAAATAAATCTTAACTTATGTTTTTTGTTAACAACGAAAAATTAAATTTTGTGATAGTCAATAATTATAATGAAAAGATATTGGATTTTATCATAATGTGCGTTTTTTATGTCTGTGAAAATTCTTAGTTCTCACTTGACTGATTTTAATTATTTATACATTTTAATCTAATTAATAAACCTATTATAGCCACAATTTGGAAACCCCAAATTAAATTAAATTAAATTTAGACAAATTTTTTACAATTACAATACCATAAATAATGGAATTTTCTAATTTTTTTTTGTGCATTTTAAAACTATAATTTATTTTTAAAAACATTTATCCTAATGAAATTTTAATACAATATAAATGAATGAATCAACAAGCTTTCTTTTGGTATGCTTTTTGAAAAAATTCAATGAAAAACCTAAGTATGCATATAATTTTTTTAAATTCTATTTTTAAAAAGATTCCAACAAAGTAATTTTTTATTGAGTTATTGTATAAAAATTATAGATATACAAACTATTATGAATTTTAGCAAACTCTGATCAAAGCTGTTTTTATGATAGTGTTATAAATCACTTTTAAATGTCTTGGTATATTTGCCCCATTTATGCTACAACCCCATTGTATTGGGTTCTTTTAATCTTAAAAGTTCTAGAAATTTTAACCTGGTTTTTTTTCATAAAAAAAAACTCTAATTTCTTTGAACTTTTAAATAGTTTAATACTGACCAAAGCTAAAGTGTCATTTTGTAGTCGACAAAAGGTCATATGTTTGCCGGTGATCAAACGTTTTTCTATATTTTTGGTCAATAGACTATCCTCCCATGGTAAATTATCTAAATGCTGTTGAAACGTTTTGTTTTGAAATTCAACAGGCTCCATAATTTCAAGATCTCGAAATAGATTAGGCTCGTTATTTTCTTCAATAGTAAACGAAGGCTGCTTCATCAAGAACAAAATGTGTTCTTGATTTAATTCTTCCAGAGTTTTTGTGCTATCGAACACTGGCGCTACTAATGGAGTAGTCGTTTTAGTTGGAGGCTTCTTAGTCCTGTTTATAATAAATATGTTATAATCATTACTTTAATGGCGTTTTAAATTAAATTCATAGTTTTAAAAAAATGTCATACGTGCTATCGGCTAATTTTAAGAAAATTTTTTCAACTCCTTCCATATTATAATCTAAAAACTGTTGAATACCAAATGTTTCAAAGAAGAATGGTACTGGTGTCATGCTAAAACAACTTGCTAAAGGGGTCCGAGGATAATATGTGACAAAAGCCAAACACATTTCTTGTTTAGTTGAATAACCACCCTAGAAATGAATTACTTTAAATAATCAATTTAATTTTAATAATAGTTTAATACAATCGAACTGAATAGAGGATAACTAACATGAGTAAGTTGCGGTCTATCTTCGGTGTTATACACACACTCGGTTATGAGTTCGTCTCCGGGATAAATGGTAATTTCATTAACTAGTTCTCTTGCTTGTTGATAACTGTAGTCGTAATAGTCATCCTAAAAAATTAACGAAAAGTATAATGTTGAACACCATTTATAATATAATGTAAAGTAAATTCAGAACAATAAAACCAATAGGATTACTTTTGCTATAGTAGTCAACTCTTGATCATGTCTTATGTGGCGAAGTTTAAGCTTTTTGGATGCTTGATGGGCGTGTAATAAAACTGAAGTAATTTTAATACCTCTTTCGGGAAAAATAACGTTGGTACAATCCTTATCGCATAAACTAGTTGTTTTGTAATTAGCTTGTCTTGGAGGTATGATGTGCATAGGTGATACAGCCATACCCACAGCCATAATACCTCCGTCATTTGTTCGTAGATGATCTGTGTAATACACTCTAACGCCAGAGTTGTCCATAACTAGGAAAAATTCGTAAAACTAGCTATTAAATCTTAAATAAATACTAATATTAAATCTAAAACCTTAAAAGAAATAAAAAATAAAGTCTGAACCTGCTCTAGAGGTAAACTAGCTTAAGTTTTATTTAAAAAAGAGAACTTGTGATAATTTACCTCTGGTGAACAGAAATTATGACAGTTAAATTTTTTTAAATAACAAAATAAAATTTAATTGTGATGCATACTTTGGAGTTAGACAACAAAAATAAGTAAAAATAGTCAACTTTTATTTCATGACTATATAAATATATTCACATGGATAAGTTTAATTTATTAATAACGATTTATTTTAATCGTGTATAAATAATAATTTTGATCTTGATAATTTACTTTTACCATTATTAAATGAAAAAAGAATATTAATATAATCAGCGAGTGTCCAGTCAAATTATCTTTTACCATAAATAAAAAATGTTGCCATTTTAATTAGCATACTTTTAGAAATGTCTAAATAGGAAATTAACATAGGAAATTGTTTAATTATGAATTTCAAATTTTATCATACCTAGATTTAAAATTTTACCGAATTTATTTTATTTTATGTTAAGAATTCCAAAAATTCACAATTATTATATAATTTGTTTGAAACACTTATACAATAAATATTTTCAATCAAGAAATCAATAATTTATTTTATTATTATTTTAGTCTGAATTTTTAGACAAGTTTTATTAATTATTAATAAAATGTTATGTACTTCTAATTTTTCTACTTTCAGTATCTACTCTAAAAATTCTGAATATCGTCATCTTAGAATTACAAGGTTTTAAAGGAAATTTTTATATTTTTTCGGAAAGTGTCTTACAACTCGCAAAAAAAATATTTTTTTGTAAGACTTTGGAAATTTTTGATAATTTTATGAAAGCAGCATAGTGTTCAATGTTACGAAACAGTCGACAAGTATTTTGTTTTAAATCATAAAAGTGAGCTGAGAGGTAAATAATAAAAATTTCTAAAAAAAATTCATTATAAATATATGGCGAATTTAAAGTATGGATTTGCGCGAATTTTCAGTTAACTTTAAAATGTATCTTTATAATTATTAACCTTCAACATCACTTTTGGTACCTTTTCTCAGTGTAGGATTATCATAGTGTATTTCTAACATGTAGTATGAATCTCTTCCACTAATAGGAATGCCAACATGGTTAGGTAAGAAATGACCATCTGAACCCATCGCCCATGTTACTACTGGAGTAATACATTTGTTCCATTCTTCAGGCATAGTATCGCCATAACATTGAGATCCTTTTAATGTCACAAATCTCTCCATCGTATTTGGCCCATTATCGCACTCATACAATATCATATGATGGATAAGACGATGTGTATCAGGGTTTAATATTGGCACAAACTTCAAATATTAATTACAAAAAGTATATGTATTTTTAAATTATAAATTTAGTACAATTATCACTTAAAAATATATATTTGCTTACCCCTACGATATGATTTTTTTGGGTAACTTTTGGTGCTCTAAAAATCTTACACCAGTAAATAGTGTCAATATTATCCTTCAGATGTACCTGAAAACAATTATTGAATAATCAAAATAATTTCCATTACAATTAATAAGTTTTAAGTTTATAATCATTACATTATCCATAGTGACATCCCAACGTTTGTAGAAATCTGTTTTTGGTCTATATTTAGGTCCTTTAGGATGAAAACTTTGTGCACCTCTCCACGAATCTCCCAACTTTAAAGCATCAGTGTATTGTCTATCAATTGGATCACGATCGCTTAGTGTCCAAAACATGCGCAATGTGTCATTCTACGTAAATTAATATTCTTGTTAAAAATTTAATGAAACATATTAAAAGTATTACTTAACATGTTATAACGTTATTTATTTTTCAGAATTGATATTTTTGTAGTGTCTCTTTATAAGAATATCTGATATAAAACTTCTTTCGGACTAGATTCTTTAATGATTCAAATATAAAAAAAGTATTACTATTCCTTTAAATAAAAAATTTTGTTAATAATTATTTTCTAAGGGTGGATTTAGAGGGTATACTAGAGAATCATATCTTTCCCGCAGTTGTCTTTTTTAAAAAGTTTTTTTTCTTTTTAATTTGTTTGATAAATGTTAGAAATTATAGTAGCACCTATCATAAATTAATTCTAGGTAAATCTCAGTCTATAATTTTATTTTTATCAATTCCGTTGGTTTTTTTAGGTTCTGGTTATTGTAATTTGTTTATATTAAGTTAATGTAAAGATTAAAGTTTAGCAAAGATCAAAATATTAGGTAAGTTAAATTATCATACTTAAAATATATTATTATCAATAACTACTTTACATGTTTATTTTAATTATTTGTTTATTGCTAAATTATATAACTTGTATGTTACCGGTCATTGACCGTACATTGTTTTAAAAATGAATGCTCAAACTATGGAGCACAATATTATAATAATATAAATTTAATGACACCCTCATTACAGGATGTTATTCATATCACGTTCGGGGTTACACGACAGTCGCCAAGAAAACCTAACAAAGCATTTATAACCAACATGACGTAGTCCGTCTCATCGCAACCGTGTGTATAATTTACATAAATCATCATTTCTACAATAAATATTTATGAAAAAAAAAAAAAATTCTAATGAATATTTTTACAACATTTTTGATTATATTACTGGTAGTTTGTTTTACAGACGAACAATTAGACATGGAAAATTCGTGGTGTGTGGATAAATCTTGGACTACAACTGATGTGGTAGAACGTCACATTCGTATAGCTGATGTGCCGTTGGGGTCGGACATCACGTTCCAATGTAGTTTTTGCGGGGAAAATGATAAGGGTGAACCAAAACTCTGGTATCAGTCAGATAGGTAATGATAAATTAACAATGATAGCAAGTAATTTTTGTTTTAACAGTCAACCCTTAAATCGTATCTGTAACATAGGTTTACTGGTCTTCGCCGGAAGGAAGTCATAACCGGCATATTAGACGTGCTCGAATCAAACAGGGTTTACGTGACCCCAACAAATCATTTGGTTGTGCGAAACTTAACGATTAACGATACTGGTCAGTACTCTTGTGTAGATTTACACAAAGGCAAAGATGGAGTAGACGAGATTAATTTTGCTTTGGATCTGTTACCGCCTATTACAACTGCCGTCGTATCGGCTAGTTCTGCATCTCAATGGAATGATTACGAAACTCGTTATTTAAAAATGCCTAGACAAAAATATGCTAACCAGAGCATTAAATTGGAACCAGAGTGGTTGCCTTGGGGACCTTGTGATGGTTGTACCGGATTGAGATATAGAAGGGCTGGATGCCGAGTACAGTTTTCGAATAATACACGAATTGCTTGCAGGTATATTAAATTTCATCACGTACGATATCTGACTTAAGTCTATTTAATATAATTACTGTCCAACATCAGAGCTATAGATCTATTTAAGATTTCATCGGAATTGGCCTTTTCGTTGTCGTCAATACCCGATTTTTTGTTATCTGAAAATTGTTATGCTTATTGCTACTCGAACAGACGTCGAGCACCTATGTATCGGAATACGTTCGTGCTCAGCGAAGGGTCCAGTTTAACGTTGAAATGTGCCGGAGCTACAGCTGATGATAAGGTATACGCTGTTGTGTCATCGACAACAACTCTATGCTGACCTCGGGTCGTACTGTCAATACAGTTAGTGCCAACATGTATTACCCCATTTAGTACAGCCAGGTTTTTCTAGTAAAAATACATAAGTTTTTTTTTTTTAGAAAACGTGAGTAAATAGAGTGTCACTTATAGTATAAAAAAACTCAACCACGTTGGCCAACGCGTGATCTTTTTGGGTCTTTGAAAATTTTATTTATAAAAAAATTTATTTAATAGGTGACTTGGAGAAAAGATGGATTATTATTGGACGAGTCGCCCAATAGTAAAGTCGTTAATGGTGTATTATTAGACATATTTGGTACGTTGTATTTAATAAGAATTACCGTAGACGATTCGGGTAACTACACGTGTTTTATAAACGATAATCGAACACAGGAAGTACTTGTTTCAGTTAAAAAAAGGAATTTAATGTCGACGTATGATTACGATCGACATTTGTCTTATTTGTATTACATGTTTGGATTGTATTTTGTACTGTTCAGTGCTCGAATCATTTATGCATTTCTCAATCGTCACGAATACTTAGAAATTACTGAAAAAGACTTTGAAAAACCAATTATCACTTCTGCATTTCTTAATAGACGAATAAGAATTCAATTATGAATATTTACCTGTTATATTTTACAATTTAAATTTATTAATTGGTTTTAGATTTTTGTTGTATATAATGTACGTACAAGAAAAAATATTTAATATGTTCGAATAATTCATGATTTATACTAGTACTTTATATTTATCCTTTACATGATGATTTAACCATTAAATTTATTAATTAGTAATTTTTAGTGTGATACTTGCCTAAAAATACAAGGAAATCAAATTTGAAACTGTTAAAACTAAAAACGACATACAGTTAGTGAATGAACGCAGCGCCCGGTGGTATTCACGCGGGTTCGTTAACGTTCGTGGTTTTGTTTTGTCTTAAGTTTTAGCTATGTCGAGGATAAAGAATAAGATGAGTGGACTGTATGTTTGAATGTAGAATGAATTTCACAAGATATAATTATACAAATTAAATATATTATATAATAAATATAAAATCTTATATACACCAATGTGGACAGGGGGGGACACTTAATACTAATGCCACTAAGGCGATGATATAAACAAATAATAAATTATACAAGCGAGTCTTAGAAAGATAAATGAACAAGCATTATACTTATCTGCTAAATGAAACGGCTGATGATAATGTTGAATATTGAAAGGATCAATTGAAGTCGAATGCAAGTAGCTGACCAAAGTGTACAATATGCTGTCAAAGGTATTGTGATGTATCTCAGAAAATATATAGACCCAACGGCGATAAACTGAGCGCACAGGATACGACAATCGCAAAGGTAATATTTTCTTTTTACAGTAAAACGAATACAAAACTACTAGCTCGCAAACGCCGTAGAGCTTATATCAGAAGAAGCGTTAAGATCAAATTTATAAGGATGTCAACTTTTTATATTTTTTCAAATAGCAACATACATAACTACTAATTGGCTTATAAAGTCGAAAAAAATTTAAAGAAAAAAATGACAAGTCGATTATAACTTTTGGATCAGTATATCAGAAATTATTAACAATTTAAAGTAATGACCGGAAGTGAGAAGTGAGTGCTGTTATATTTATTACTATTAATCTCATAACCGTATTCTTCGTCCTACCTAACTATAAAAATAAGAATAACATCTAAAGTACTGGTCCAAAAATTATTATTGATTAGTCATTTTCATAATTAGAGTATTTCCTTTTTTATAAGCTAGTTAAATATGTATTTTACCATTTAAAAAAATTTAAATTGACACCATTCATAAGATATAAGGGATGATTCTAAAAAGTTTCCATGAGCTGATAAATCAAAAAATATATGCAATTAAATTAATCATTTTTTTTTCATTATTGTATTTATTTGTGAGTAATCAAGTGATTATGATAAACCGATAATTCGTGAATTAGTGAAAATTTTGATATTTTATTTTTATTAAAAATAACAAACAAAAGAATAAATTATCCAGAAATTTTGGAAAAATACTTTTAAATGTACTGTTTTATAATACTTGCCGCTGTTTATTGTATAATAGAAGCAGTCTTTTGCAAAACTATATTAAAATTTTTAATGTTTTCATCATTTAATAAGTTACCAAATATAGATGTTTACAATTATATTATATCATATATAAAATCGATAGCATGTAACAAATAGTTATTTAATTTTATAGTGCTTGTTTTTATTTTATTAATACGTCTGCACTATTACCCTTAGAGCGTTACTTACTAATAAATAAATAAATAAATTTCCAATGTGTTACTGTGTTACAACTTTTTACCTAGTAAATTTATTCAACTAATCGGACACTAAGTCCAAACTTTTTAAACCTCCCCTAATGACTTGTGTTTTATAAATTATTGTAAGATAATAGCATTTAAAATCCTATCGCCCAAAACTTTGAACTGAATTTCGACTTTCTTCCAAAATCATTTATTTATAATAGTAACAATAATATTTTTAAACATAACACATACCCCAATGTAGACGTCATCGTATGTATCACAGGTGTCCCAAGCCCTGCGAAAGACAACGGAAATATGGGAACCATTTTGAGCGGAAGCCAGTAACTCATAGTCTTGACTTACATCCTTTTCCGGCATGAGACTCCCATCATTTTTGCTGTGCATATCCTACAAGAATAAAAAACAATATAATTTACTACATGGTAGGAAGCATCTCATTATTTTATTTTTGATAGCCTATGTTATTACGTCAGTTAATTTTCATTGAGAAACTAACGATAAAAATATATACATATATTAAAAAAGCAACAATTAGAAGATAATATTATGTAATTTTCAATATTTATACATTGAGACCAAAACAATTTTTATGTGTATTTTAAAGTACATTTTCAGTAAACTTAACTTTATGACTGAATGATTGAAAAATTCAGTTATATCAATTGAAGAAATATATTTTAATTTAATTTGATTTGTAAATTATTTAAATGTTTACATTAACATTGTGTAAATTTTTTATGATCCGGATTTCCTACTGGGAAAAATTAAGTTAAACCAAAGGTGTAGTTATTTTGAAAATATTAGTCCTGAGAATTTTCTCATGATGATTTTAAAAAAGAGTTTGCATTAAAATAAAAATTACACAAGAATCAATTGAATTAATTGGTATAAGATACCATAGCATTTCTCACAAATATTATAACTGGTATTGTAGAAAATCTCATGGGAAACTGTTGCAGTTATTCTGTAGGGGAATCCAGTTATATTGAAAGGGATAAAAAAACATTTCTGAATAATAAAAACACTATTTTTATTTTCACTATTTTGCCTAACGTCAAAAAATTGCTATTAGATTTTGTTTTTTATAAAACACGAATATTTTAAATCATTAAAAATTAATTTAATTTAATAATAATATCGAATGGTTTTCTGGAATGAGAATGTAAAATATGAGTATAAATAAAAATTAACTTACATAAATTTTATTTTCAATAATTCAAAAAATAGTATTTTGACTGAAAATTTTCTTATATAATTTTGATTAATATTATGCTATTGGTGCTCAAGTTGTTCTGTTTTTGTCTTGATGGAAGATAAAAGTTATAAAAAATGATCGCAATTACGAATTAAAATTTGTTCTAACACGATACTTGTTATTAAAATTTTATATGTAGTCGAAAACAATATAGTCTAATTATTTTTTTTTATATAACAAAACGTATTCCCAAAAAACAAGGTAAGTGTGAATTATACCTAACATTGTAATTATTTTAATACATAAAACATATTTTATTTGTAAAATTACTAATTAGTGAGTATACGTAATTATATTTAATTCTGCAGTTCTAAATTTTTTTCATTTTTATTGAACCAATTCACGTTACAAAAGAAATATTATATACTAATTTTCCCCCTGAGACATATTAATCTTTAAAATTTAAAAATCATGAACACACTAAATTTTACAAAATCAGAGCTCGTCTAAATTTAATTAATTTGAAATATATGTGAGAAAAGCTGACATTAAATTTTTTCGTGAACTCCATAAAAAATACTTATTATTATTTCACATTTTCATTATAATCTTACAAGTTTTTTTTAATTCTCGTTCACACATATTTTTTGACAACACCAATTTTCATTTGAGTCCGCTTTGGGAGGTACTCATAGTCTATAATAGATTATATAAATGAAAAATAAAATGTATTCAAATTTAAGTTGATATTCCTAGAAAATTTAATGTCTCATTTATATTTTATCTTTTATCGATATTAAAATAAATCGGGGCTTATGCATTTTTTCATAGTCATCTGTTATGATGACATTTACTGTGTCATCTTTTTTGTTATAGTCATTACATGTGTTTTATTTACGTCTTCAAAAATGTACCATTTATCAAAAATAATGTACAAAAACTCTTTGTGGGAGAGCGTCCCATATGTTACATTTATCTAAAAGAGGTGTATTTCTTTTTAGCTAAAACTATACTTAAAAATCGTGTAATTTAGTCGAGAAAAAATAATTTCAAGTAGGTTATTATTTTAAATAATTACAATCCTCGTTGGTAAATCGTAAGACAGAAGGCGTCAGTTTTAGAGAGTAGCAAGCACTTTAGAACAGCATAATTTTAAGCTTGTTTTTATATGTTCATCTGGAGACGATCTTAACGGTTACGGGTAAACAGTTTTCCATCCTATTGTATTATATCAAAAATTACCGGACGTGACCATCTAAGCACCTGCAGTGATGTTCCACGAGAGTGGCGCGTGCCCTTTTCAAACATTCAATGATACAAACACACCGTGACAAATAAGCTGGTTCGAGTAGTATTTTATGTTATTTTTTCTTCAGGAATAAAGTTTAATATTATTTGAGCCAATGGACGCGGTGTATACACGCTCACGTATATTAGCTAACTTTATCGAATTCACTCACCCCAGACAAGATTCTTCGGTGTAGTTAATACGGTGCGACTAGACGGATTTACCCCTTTTTCAAGCCATGTAATGAAGCTTTGAAATATAATTGAAACTAACATATAACGGTAAATTGCATATTTTTATTTTTTAAAATGACAAACTAATGCGTGCTTGGTGATTTATAGGTTGAAGTTAACTGATGTGGCCGTCGAGGCGGTTGTCGTAAATTAATCAAGATTGAACACTATTCTTAATGCAAAAACATTTTTATCGCAAACAGAAGTAGAAGAAAAATGTTTCCCTAATCATATACTTTTTATGTAGGGCTATTTAGTTTTTCCGTTTTCATTCAATAAATTCTAAAGAGGATGTTAAACACGATGTAAAAATAATAAATATAAAATAAATTATTTTCAATACGTTAAAAAAAAAAAAGTAATTTAGTAAAAAAATAACTTTTTTTTTGAAAATCTTTAATCGAGACACGTTGAACAAAAAAAAAAAACATAGTAACTAAAAATTGATTCTTCGATACTTCGAATATTATGTTCATTAAGGAAATTATTGATAAATAGCATTATTTTTTTTTTGCGGTTTTCGAGTACATTTTTTTTAATGTTACAATTTTCTTATTTTTCCTGAACGTGAAATTAAATCTTTTTGATCTGGAAGCCTCAACTTTTCGATTTTACTTAATATTTGATTAGTATATTTTGAAAAATGTTTAATGAAGTCGTTATGTAATGTGCAATACAAAAAATATTCTTTAGTTACTTTTTTTTTATTCTTAAATATGTGGTTTTTAATTATTCCATATTACATACTTAAGGTTTTGCATAGTGGCGGACAAATGATTTTGATGTGGGAGGGGACGAAAACACTTTATTATAATAATCATTACATGATTATTTCAGAAATTGTTATTTGTATTATTATATCAAGTTAATTACGGACTATTAGACATATATAAATTGTTGTTTTCTTATTTAATTTATTTGAGAATCGTAAAATTGTATAAGTTGAATTTACTTTTGTATAAATAACAACCGAAACTTAAAATTTAATCTACCAGATTTATAGGATTAATAATTTTTTAAATTAAGTATGTTTGATAACTTTTAATGGAATCATCGTAATATGATAATATTATAATTATAATACATTATACGAGTCGTCTAGTTGCAAACGGGTGTAAATCCTAATTTTTTTTGTAATTATGTTTTCTCTTGACTAATTAGCTTATAAATAATTAGGAAAAAACAAAATTTAGCATAAACATGTTTAGACATACGTCTTTATGCAATTGGACGGCTCATACAAAGTTTCTAAAATATAAAATACATACAATGAATATTTTACGAAATATCAAAAAGGATATATCTCTGTGGGGAAGACCTATCCCCTAATCTTTCCCCATTTGACCGTTATTGGTTTTACAAAATGAAATTTAAATAAAAATAAATTCTTCTACTTTTATAACTAGACATTGAAGAACAATACTAAAATTAAAATTCTCACTGACCATGTGTACATTATTAACGTAGGTGTGTGTTTTTCACATTGACAATTCCCGAATCTACTGTTAAGTATAGTTAAATAAACAGTTCACGTCTGTTGAAGAAGAATATTTAAAAGGACGAACAAGTACTGAATATAGCTTTAAGATAATTAAAGATTATCTTTGAGTTAAGCTATTGATCAAACTTTCATAACCATGTACTTTATTATTAAAGTATATTTATTAATTACTAAGGAAAAAATGTGGTAAAAAATAAAATGAAGATCGCGGCTGTTACTATGATCTAAATGAAGTAATGACTAGTAAAAAAAAAAGAAATCGAGAGAATATTTTATATTATTACTCGTTACATTTTTTTCATGTTATAACAGCTTCGATGCGAAACTGAAAAGCTTTACTCCGTCGTGTTTTTTTTGCCAGTATACACAATTACTATTAGACCAATTTTGCTGAACGACAGCTAAAAAGAATATAAGGAAAATGTCTCTAAAAATACAGTTTTTATAACGTAGTTAATGTTGATATTTATAGTTTTCACTTTATATTGAAATAACTTTTTTTTGAAAAATATATGGATTATTGCGAGATTTTAAAAATCATATCAACATTTTTTTGTTTTCAATTTTTGATAACGTTAAAATAAAAATGACTTCTTTATACATTCATATTAAAGTTAATAAAGTGTTAAGTAATAATCATATTATTAAATTATTATATTATACTACTATCCAATTATACTATTTACGATTTCTAGGAGTTATCATGCATTATTGCAAAATTCATACAACATTTAGTAAAAAATCCTTTATACAGTATATAACTTAAGCTTCGATGCAAAGTTGAGAAGATATTTATTTTACTATGATATGTTTTTTATGTATTTGTTGCCACTTTTTCTCAGCTCTTACTAGAATGATTTCTTTCAACGTCAAAAGATCACAAATCGTATCTGATTGAAGACATTACCCTTAAAAGTTGAAAAAATTTTCATCGTTTTCCGTAAATGGGGTAGATCTCAAAAAAATTACAATTTTAAAAATCGGTATTTTTCGACATTTTTTCAATTTTTTTTTTCTTAAAAGTACCATAACTTTTTCAAAAATTAATAAATTAAAATAATTTTATTTTTAAATAGAAATCTCAGGTATTTTGCCTTTATTTGATATAATTTTCTTGAAAATTTGACCTTTTACTGGCTCACAAGATGGGATTCAAAATAACAAGTTTTT